TTAACTCAAAGTTTCTTATTTTTTTGGAACATTTTAACAAAGTATTTTAAAGTATGGAATATATGTACTAAATATCCAATCATTCCATATTTATGGCAAGAATGCATCTTTGATTTTTTTTCTCTACTATAATTAATAGTAGAATATTTATTCTTTCTATATAGACAAAACTAGTTTTAACCATAATTACCTTGGTGCTTATGAATACCTTTTTTATATTTATATAATTTTTTTTTAGACTTTAAAATATTTTGTACATAAAATTCTAGAATTGTGGTTCCAATAAGACAAGCTTTGGCATTATGCAAGGGTAGCTCATTTTTTTTCTCGATAAGATTTTAAAATAATTCTAAAATTTCATATTCCTATATTGTTGTGCAAACACATCAGATACTAGAAGAAATATAGAAAGAGCTTTATCAATCATTTCTTCTTTAGAAATGCTTTGTCTACACAATTGTAGTTGTGAGACAATACGATACATTTTATAGTTGAAAGCATTTAAATTTGAAAAATTCAAGACATACATATGTATCGAATTATGATGTGCATATGGAAGGAAAATGGTCTTTTGATAATCAAACCTAGATTTAAGATTCTCTCCAAAGCTTAGTTGAATCTTCTAATTTCAAGTATTGATATTGCAATGTAGATACAAGATGACAATGAAGAAAAAGAAGTGCTTTCTAACAAATGGCAAGAGGAATAGAAGTACTTATAGTAAGAGATTCTTCAAATAGAATTATATCTAAGAATTGTTTTGCAAATAAATTTACTTTTGTCATTTTGTTCATAATAAATAATTATTTCTATTACAATCCAATGGTAGAAATAGAAGAGCTTGAAAATGTTGGAATGCATTCGTGATTTTGGAACTATAGTAGAGGCAGTTGATGATGTTGAAGTACTCATTATAAATAAATTTATAAAGAAAATACAAGATCAAGTAAAAAAAAAATTGAGTAAAATGCATCCAAAAATATAAAACCAAATAAAATGATAAAAATTAAACTTGAAATCAAAAATGATAATAATTTGGAGAGATTTTTATTTATTTTTTTTTTATAAAAGATCTACGGTGGACTATAGTAATAGTGGTGGATGGTAGCGGCAAACTATGGTGGCAATGATTGATGGTAGCAGCAGATAGCAGAGCATGGTAGTCAATAGTAGGGCATGGCAATTTGGCAGGATGTGGCAATTCAACAATAAGGTTGTGAAGGCAAGTAAGACATGCAATGCAATAGGCTGAATACAAGATATAGAGTGATGCAATGTAGAAAAAAATCAAGGAGAAGATAAAGGCCAAGGTGCACACAAGTTTTTAAGAACCAAGACTAATGCATAGGAGCAATTTTGTTGATAAGGTGTTGAAAATGTTTAGAGAGACACAAAAGTAGCTAGAAGTAATATGCACACACATAGACAAGAGAGTATATAGAAGGAAAAAGCTTCTTATCTATGTATTGACATGGTTGTTTCTTGTATACAAAGAGAAGGGGAAAAGATAAAAAAAATTCTTTACTACATTCCAAATACTATAGCTACAATATTTACTACAAACTACAGTTAATATTATAGAGAGTGCCAGCTACATTTAATGTTCTCAATAGGAAATAAACTTCTATCCCCTTCTCCCCCTTTCTCCACAGTGCTGCAACTAATTTAAATTAAAACACCACCACATACTTGTCATGTTGGTGGAGTTTTATATAAATAAATAAGATTAAATATAAATATATATGAATGTGATTAGATGTGGAGCTCCATGCTGTACTGTTTTCCAGTGTTGTGCATTCAACTTGCCATTCACAGTTGTTGTTGTTGACTTTTCCTGGTGTAAGAAGGTTGGCTTCATTGTCAATAGACTAACATGTTTTGCAATTAGAATTTTTTAATTGCAAGCATTACTTGTATTATGGGATAGTATTAAGGTTTATTTATACCTAATTAAGGATTTTTATTTTAATTTATAAAAAAAAAAATGACAGGTGATTTCTGTTTAGCTTTTCCTGTTTTTTATTGCTTATTTCTTCTTCTTTTTTGTTTGATCCACATTAGATTGCAAAATATATATATATTTGAATTTTGTGAGAATGACTATTTTTTTCAATATGATTATTGCTGTGCATGTTTTCATGCTTTTACGTTTATTTTTATTTATCTTTATATATTTTTTAGATTTACCTTGGATTGCCATTGTATTGGTGGGTATACTTGTGATTACTTTTAGATATTCGATTAGCATGTTTTCAAATTTTTATTCTATTATCATTATGATTGGAATGTTGTTCACAACCATCAAAATATTAAAACATGTAATATACAGATGATAATTTTGAAATTAATAAGGCTATGATTTATTTGAATGCTCAAATTATATATTGCAGAAGCCACAACATTTTGTTTTCATTGATGAACCATTACAATGTAAAATATATATTTAAAAATAAAATAAGTTAATTTTGTTGATGAATATTGAGCAGCTTGTTGGATAAGAGAGCTCATTTATTTAGTTACTCAATATAAATTCGATTTTTATCTAAAAAAACTTTTTTCATTAGCAGATTAAAATAACTCAAACAAAAAGAATAAAATAAAAATAAAAATGCTCTGTGTTATTATTATTATTTTATTTTATTTTATTTACAATTCCAACACAATTGCACAAAGCCAAATCCAACATGAGTATTTCATTTCAGTATAATTTTTTTAGTTTTTTGGGGAATTTTTTATTTTATAAATACAACATTAGGGCAAACTTTGCATGTACATGCATACTTTCTTTCATACAATCATCTAAATCCCATCATGTCCACTGACCTTTTTGTTTATTACTGACAATTATTAGGCAGTGTTTTTTTTTGAGTGGTGCATGTTTTCTTACTTCAGATTCTATGTCAGTGAAAATACAGCTTGAGTAAACAAATGATGAAATGTCAAGGTGATCTTGCAAAAAGTGTTGTTTGTACATGTCAAACAAGTAACATATGCAACCACATTTGACTTCTATACTCACTTTTTGTAATTTAGTGTGTGCATATATATATATATATATACACATATTTCAATCAATCAAGCAATCAATCAGAGGGGGGACCCATCATACTGGAGTGTGCACAATTCAGTATACTTTAAAAATTCAAATATTGAGAATTGGGTACATTTCATTTCATGTTCATTGGACTGATGTGGTGTTCCAATGGGTAGACAAATAGAAAAATAGACCATAAGTGAACACACTATTTAATTAATGATATTAATACATTTTAATAATAAAAAACTAAACTCAAACGAACACATATATATATATATATATACATACATACATACAAAAACACATACATAAGCACCATTTCATTTTAATTAAAGAGAAAACGATGCAACAGATGCAAACATGACAGGTCCATCCAAATTCATTCATTCATTCAATCAGTCATTCAGTCCCATAATAATGTACACACTCCCCCACATTTCCTTCCTTAAATTAAAAAAGAAAAAAACAAAAGGTGAGGTGATGGTTGATTGGATGATAGATTTCAACTTTCTCTGCATTTTTAGAAAAGGTTCAGTTTACTACAATTCTTTCACCAACTTAAACTGTGTAACATAAATAAATTGAGTTGGTGCTAAACTTTAGTGTTGGCAGTTTTGCAATGACTCAAATAGATGCTTAAAATTATTTCAGGTTGTTGTCATTGTTTTTATTTTGATTATTATTATTTTATAAGATGTTTTATTAGAAAATACACATAAAGAAATCATAATAATAATAATCAGAATCAAATTTTTACAACATGAGAATATGAATTACTTCCACCTACAGAAAGTTTGGATGTGGCATTAGTTTGAATTATGAAACTTTGAGTTGATGTCATTGTTTGAAATACATAAGATGCTTGAATGTAATAAAAGTAATTGTGCTTCAGTGAAGAGTCAGTAGAAATTTGATATATATATATATATATATATATATACATATATAATATAAGCCAAGTTAATGATTTTTTTGATGATTTCAGAATTTAACTTTGAGAATTGAACTTTTGATATTGAACCATTGGCAATATCCAAAATCAAGCCTTTTCATTATTCAGTGATAAATTTTTATAAATTTTTCAATTTTTATTTATATTATATATATATATATATATATAATTTTATTGACACTCCAAAGATAACTAAATTTTATTTAGTATTTATTATCAACACTAATGGTCTCATGATACAGTAATTTTTTTCAAACTATAATATTACCAATTAATTTACATGTAGTTTTGATTACCATGATTAACATTTTCAATTTTTAAACTGACTTAATTCAAAATCTATGTTTATTTCTTTCTGAGGTGTAATCTGTAATCTAAATAAAAACAGCTTACAGTCTTGAGTGATATTGAAAACAAATAAAAACAACTTAGATTCTGTTTGTCATAGACATCTATAGACATAAAAAGGATATGAATGGAAAAATCTTCAGAAGAAATTTTTACTTAGAAGACACAATAATTTGTTAAAAGTGAGTTCTAAACCAAGAAGTTAATTGACCGTCTTTAATCCTCTACTATTACTTGCATCTGATTACAAACCAAAATTTTAATTTTGAACTATACTTGATAGATTTTAATTTATAGATTTTTAATTTTATAAGTACACACAACTACACATGTGAGTGTTTTTATTTTTATTTTTGTAAGTTTTAATAATTTATTTAAATGTATTGAGCGGCACTCTGCATTTGGACATTTTAGGTTTAGCACGCAACATTTTAAAATTAAACTGTTTCAACAATGAAGCACTCAAGGCAAATTAATTGTGTAAACCATTGAACACTAGCACTTTCAGTTGAAAATTTCTACGTCGTTTACAGACCAAATTCTCATTAAATTTGAGGATTAGCACTGGCTGTTTGAAGGGACTGATCACAAACAATTCCATCATTGAATACTAATTTGAAAGTGAGGAACTTTTTCTTTATTTTTAATTCGCATCCCACTGCAATATAGTCATCTATTCTTGTTTGCAAACCCTAACTACTTTCTGTGAAACTAAAATAAAATATAATAAAGTAGCAGCTACAAATTGAATATAGTTGTGTTGTTTGTGATAAATGTTTTCTTGAATTTTTCAGATATTTAATAGTGATTCTGATTGCAGTGATATTTTATTTTGTTTTTACTTTACGTTCAAAGGAATAATATTGAAAGTTCATGTTTTTACACAGCATTAATCATGAGAAATTAGTTTATAAGTATCTTTAATATACAGTTACAATTATATGAGTTTAATGTGAGCCCATAACAGTATATTGTACAATGTTTAAGCTAAACTATTCAAACTTGTTTAGCAACGTATTCCTGTGTTGATAGAAATACATTAATTAAGGATAGTTAATGCATTGTGCCAGGTAATTTGCTTTCATTTCAAAAACGTGTCAAAAGAATTTATAATATTAATGAAAGCTACATGTTGATTTTCCAAGTATGTCACATAATATTCAAACCATACTTCACCTGAGTAAAAAAATAAATAAAATAAACAAATCCATGACTACCACAATTGCTAAGCTATTGAAGTTCTACATGAATTAGAGATATGAAAATTATTGGGTTGCATTGGAGAATTGTTCTACATCAAATGAAAGGAGTCATTTAGGGTTTCAAGAACAGGATGCAAGGGAGCCCAAAATTTGATATTTAATTTCTGGTTTTTGGTTTTGATTTCTTCATAAAGTTGTAGAATTTCCAAAGGAGCATTGGAAGAATCAGTGCAATGGAAAACATGGACATGCATGAAGGAGAAAATGTAGCAGAAGCTCAGAAGGAGGACATAGCTCCAAGCACCACCATGTCAAGCTTTGAGCTCACTGTTGCGGCAGCCACGGCCACTGCACGAAAGACGGCAGCGGCACTCATGGCAGCTCATGGGGCCTCGTCCAAGTGCACTTCGACCACACCCAATGTCCATTGCAGCACAATTGCCAGCACCAAAATGGGCTCCAAAGCTTTGCAACTTGCAAATGGAGCCACCACAACTTTTGTCATACCTAAAAACAAATTGTTTGGGGCTCTTGTTGCGGTGAATCAAAACGATGCATCTAAAGGGAATGGTGCCATTGTGAGGAAGGTGAAGAAGGAGGGCATGGACGAAAAGGATGATATGGACGCTGCAAAGCACAAGAATGCTACCCAATGGGCTCCGGATCCGCTGGAGGATCCCATTGTCAAGCGGGGTTTGGCACTTGCATTGCAAGTATGTGCCTCTTGCAAATTGTTTCCACTCTTTTCCACAAGTTGATCTGGTTTTCAACAGGGTACTTTGGCTGTGTTGCAGTTAACATCATTAATATGTTCACTGTCTAAACTTTTTTCTTTTCTTTTGGCTTGTATTCCAATAATGAGTTTTAAAAATTGAACCTAAAATCTTATTGAAGTTGTATATCAATTCAGAATAATTATATCATAACTGCTTACAACACAGTGTAATATTATCAACTTTTTATGTAAACACAGTAGTATTTTAAAATATATAATTTCTTTTGTAACTATATTAAAACTAAGTAAAATTAGAAATTATAAATAGAAAATATTAATAATGATAATAATAATAATAAAACAAAACAAACAAATCAACAAAAAACAAAAAAAGTTTATTTTTATTTTTTATGGGATGGCATGCAAGGAGTGAACAATGTATAAAAGAATGTGGCAATGTTCTACCTAAGAGGGACAAAAACATAAAATGCTCATATCCAGGTGAAGGCATGTAGTGATATGGATGCCTGGTATTGGTGGGACGAGTTTTGAGCAGACTCGAGCGGAGCAAATTGCTACACAGTTGGATTCAAGTTTTTGGGACATTGAGGCATTGGATGGTCCCCGTTCTCCATCGCCTCCCCCCATTTATGACTCTAACGGCCAACGAACCAACACCCGTGAGGTGCAAACCCACCCAATGATTTTTTTAATGTTTTCTCCCCACAAATTCTATGACTAACTCCATCCCCATTGTACACATTGAAAAATTCTCACTCAACTATACCTATTTCTATTGTACGCTTCAAATAACAAATAATTATGTGGAATGCATTTCAATGTATGATCACTTGATTAGGAGAACAAGTCAAGAAGTGTACAATATTGATTGCCTCTTTGAACTTGTGATAGGGAAGGAGACGTGAGCAACTTGAAATAGAAAGGCGTGAAGCCATTGGTAGATCATACTTCAAAGTCATTTTGAATTTCCTTAAATGAAATGCTTGTCACACATGAATGATGCATAGTAGCATTGTGGGTTGTTAAATGAGTAAATAAATAAATAAAATTGGTGCATTTAAGTTATATGATGGAAGTTATATGTGTATACTTTTAACTCTTGCATTCAAAAAAAAAAAAAAATCCATCTATTTAATACCTAGTTTTAAGATTGGTTTGAAATAAGCATTAAAATGTACAGGTGAGTGCATGAAATTGAATCCATTGTACAAGCCACCTGTGGGTTACAAACCTGTTTATAAAGAAGCCAAACTTTTCATTCCTGTGAGTATATAATTGAGGGCACTTGACCTAGTGTTTGGACCTTGCTTTTTCAAAAATTATGAAAATATTAATAGGAAATACGCTTCTGTTTCAATCACAAATGTTGGTAAAATGTGTGGAGATATCCTTTGGACAAAGATGAAATCAAACATTTTTTTGACACAGAGCCCTCATGCCTTTGTAGGTTAAAAAATATCCTGGCTACAATTTCATTGGCCTAATTCTTGGCCCACGAGGAAACACCCAAAAGCGCATGGAACAGGTCTACAAAAAATATTATTTGAGTATCATGTTATTGAGTTATATTATGAAAAATTAAAGGATAATCTTAAAATAGTTATTGCATCTTACAAACCTGACTGAAAAGAAACACATATGAAAAATAAAATGTAACATCACATGATATTTTGTTTTCAGGAAACTGGAACAAAAATAGCCATACGAGGCAGAGGTGCAGTTAAAGAAGGAAAGGTATTATACAGTCCCTTCGAAAAAAACAAACCCCACTGTTGTAAATCAATTGTTTTGAGACACCTGATTTTAATCATAGAATTCAAAAATAAATTTAAAAATAAATTAGTATTGACAGGAATATGAAATACTTACATTTTATTTTATTTTTTTCTTGGGATTGTTAGCGACTCATATCAGGTCGCCGTGACAAAGATCTGGAAAGTGTTCATGATGATTTACATGTTCACATAACAGCGGATTGTTTTGAGAAAGTGGATGCAGCTGTTGCTCTTATTGAACCTCTTTTGACACCAGTTGATGTAAGACAATGTTTGTTTTGATTTCAACACAAAATAATAATTTACTACAACACCCACCATATAAATAAGTATGTGTATTGATGAAGTTTCTTACAGGTTGAATCTTTCTGTATTTTTATACTTTGCCATTTTGTACTTTGTAACACTATTGCAGGAAATTCAAAATATGCATAAGCGCAAACAACTTCGAGAACTAGCTGAAATGAATGGTAACAATAACAAACTTATTCAATCTAAAGGAAATACTAGCACATGTTTAAAATGCATCTAAAATAACACCATCCACTTTAATTTTCCATTGAGAGATATTTGCTGAATACTGCCTTCAGGTACTGCATTAGATAACATTATGTGTTGTGCTTTGTTGGTGATATTTAAACAAGAGAGAATGTGTGTCTATATATATATATATATATATATATGTGTGTGTGTGTGTGTGTGTGTTTCTGTGTGTGTGTAATAGTCTACACATGTGTGGAGCATATATTTCTGAGGAAAAAATAACAATAATCAAATTAAAAAATAGGAACAATGCGAGATTTTCCCAAAATATGTTCCATATGTGGTGAAGTGGGTCATCAAGAGTGGCAATGTTCTAAAGAAGCTTTGATCACTTTTCAGTCTAAGGTGTGCTTCATTTTATAATATTAAAGATTAATACTTAATAAAATCTTAAAATGCCACAAACCCAGATTTAGATATACCTGAAACCATTTATCATAATTGGATATTTTAAATAATAATTCCTGATGTAGTGGTTAAAATTTTGCATAGTAACCAAGAAAAAGGTTTAAAATAAATAAATAAATAAATAAATAATTAATTAATTAAAGCTTGCATTAAAAAAATCAGTACAGTATGTAATCACATTACCTTTAATTATTTTTTTTCAACTCATATTGAACACATTGAAATCTTATTAGGTGGCTTGTTCAATATGTGGAAATGGTGGTCATCCATCCATTGATTGCTTGCAAAAGACATCAAAACCTGGAACTACACAGGTTGATTTAACACCAATTTTCCATTCTGCTTTAGAAAAAACAAAAGCCATCTTTTAATCATTTATTCATACATATTTTAATCATCTTGCTTTTTCAATGTCATCCTTCTTTGCAGGGACAAACTCTTGATACAGAATATATGAATTTCTTGAAAGAATTAAACAATGGTTCATTAGGTTTTGTCACTAATGTGTCTAATTCATCCACAACAACCAACACAAGTGTTCCAGGTGAATGTTTTGATTTAAACACCATTATCTAAATTAATACCTTATTTTCATATTTTAACATGTGAACTACTACACACAGATTGTTGAAAATATCATAACTTATGACTTGAACTGCAAAATTAACAATAATAATTGTAAACACTGATACATATTTAGGAGCTTATTATCTTAGAATGAAAACTTCAACATGCAGGATTAGCAAGTACAGATGCACCACAAAACAGTAATGAAATTCAATCAATCCACAAGCAATTTTTAATGCCAAACAGTGCCACTGCATCTCCTCCTCAATTATTACCACCCACAATGTTGAATCGGCCACAAGTTGTTTACATAAGGAGTCCACCTGTGTGGGGTGGAGCTTGTTACAATGGGGGGCTTCAACCAAGAGGACCACCAACAAAGTTGATTAGAATTGCCAATGGAGGTTGTGTGCAACAAAGGCCCATGTGTATGGCTCCCATACAAAATGGACCTTGTGGAGCAACACCAAGGAATGACACAAAGAATCCCAACAATTCAAGCCAACCACCACAATTGGAGACACCAATCACGTATGTTTCAAACCCAAGCCTAACAATTGGGAGCAACCAAAATGGTCCATTGGTACCATATAACTCAGTAAAAATGGTAGGAAGTCCTAACTTAGTTGCCATACATCCGCATCAAATGATGAGACCAATCTACCAAACCACAATGCATGCTCCTACTAATCCACCTTCTCAATCTATGGAAGGCCAACCCTTCCAAATAATACATGGGCCCCCTCCAAAAGGAATGATGAATTCCTTAAATGTAGTCCATGCCCAAATTGTTAGGCCCCATCAAACAAATGACTATAGAATCCTTCAAAGACCATTGTTGTATCAACCTCCTCTTCATGGGGCTTTCAAACCCAACTCCTTGCAAACCCCAATTTGTGCTAGCCCACAATCTGTGGCTCCCAACATGGGGACCTTGCAACAATTCCCGGATTTGTCAACTTCTCAAATGCCTCCACAAAGTTGGCAACCCGTTAACTCAAATAATACACAATTGTGGCCTATTAATCAAAACAAAGCACCCCCTCTCCCACCCACTTTCCATTCCGGAAGTAGCCTTATTGACTCACCCACTCCCAAATCATCAATCAAATTGGTGTCACAAGTATCTACAATACCTAATCCTTCATCTACACAAAACTTGGTGTCAACCATAAAATCAACAAGTCATGATATACAATACCAACCTCCAAACACTGCACATCATCCTTCTAATGAAGAAAGTGCAAGTATACCCAATGCAATGCCACATGATCCAATATTAAATAGCTCAAGACAAACATTTACACAACAATTGAATTCTTCATGCTTTCCTCAACCACCTTCATCTTCTATGCACACACAATCCATTGATTTTGAAAATGAAAAATTGATGGCTTCTGTAGAGACCACTCAAATTCAAAGTTGAATTTAATAGTATACCATTTTGAACCATTTTGTTATTATTGTAATTGTGCACAACATTACAAACATATTACTGTGGCCAACAACAGTAGTTTTATGATTCCATACTCAATTTATCTTTAAATATTTGGTTTTTGTAACTGATACATATCATCATGTCATCATCAATTTGTATAACTTCTCTATATTTTTTGTAATACAACTGAAAAAAATGTGTATGTAAATCAATGGTACTTATATGAACTTTGTTCAATTAACAAGCATATCAAAAATATAAATTGTCAGTGTAATATTTAATGTAAAATAATTCATAAGATAATACATTTGGTATTATTGAAATATGATGTTGTCTTTATCATTAAGTTTTATTTTAACACCATTGACATTATGCTTTAAGTTGAATCTTCAATATCCTACAGAATTAGTGAAATTCTGGTTTTGAAATTAGAATATTCAATTGATAAAATCTCCATGTGTTGATCAACTTTATTGTGTTATGTATGTATGAAATACATTGAATCAGAGAGTGTATATATATATATATATATATATATACACACACATACAGACAGAGAGATGCACACAACTACATATTTCCATTTATATAACTAAAAAAGTTAAAATTTATTTTTGAAAAACTAATTCTCCTCAGTATTATTCATGATAAAAAAAATTAAAAATAGTATAATAAAAAGTATCCTATTTTATTTTGTAAAAAAATTTTAATTTTAATTATTGCGATTTTACTTATATGAATATTCTTAATAAAATTTTAATATTTAATATACAAACATTAAATTCTTCCAAGCACTCCAAAACATACATTTGATGCTTTACATGCTCAAGTGGATGAATAGACTTGCAATTCACTTGTTGCACAACAGTAATCCACATGTACAATACAATTACATGCCACATGTGATACATTTTGCATGTTTACATTGCCAATAGTTTCACCAACCAATAACTACACAATCAAGCTAATTCAACTTTCCTTACAAGATATATAAATGATTTTTACCCATATTTCATTGTTAAGTATATGACACATTCCATTTGTTTCCACAAAACCATAACAATTTTTCATAAATAACTATATACTAAAAAATTAGGTGGCATAAAAAACTTTATCAAGATCCCCAAAATAAACTATATCACATACCTGATCACAACCCATGAATTTTTCCATTTATTTATTTTTACAAAATCAGGTAACTCCAAATGACACTATAGTAAGGTATTCTGAAATCTCTACTGGAAACCTTATATCTAAACTAACAATTCAACGCTCAAACTGCAAGCACACCATCACAGTATCACATGGGTTTAATAACCACGGCCTAAGAAACCCTAACCCTAAACCTAATCCTAGCCCTGATTCGAAGGGGGTGATGGCGAAGTTTGCAAAGAGAGGTCGAAGTGGTTGTCAGAGGTTGAGTTTTACGCTTCGTACTTCATTGACGCGACTCTTGCTTGCTTATTGTTCGCCCTGGCGCCGAATTTGGATTTGTCGATTCATTTGTTCATCGCTGCCATATTCTTGACATCAATTGAATAGCCACATTTCTCGTTCCAGGGGTTGCGTAGCATCTATCAGCCATGGAACCGGCCGATTTTGAGGCGTTGCCGGAAGAGGACAAACACCGCATGTCGACCATGATCGACCATCTTCAAGTTCGAGACAGGTCTATCAACCTGCGGCTTCGTTTGTATTCTTTGTTTCCTTCGCAATGTATGGTTTGGTTTTGAAGGTTCGGTATTGTGGGCTTGAGCTTGAAGTGTTGCGTTTTGGCGGCATTCGATCGTGTTAAGATGGATTGGTTGCATCTTCTTTCTGGTGGAGGAAGTTGGGAGGCGCACTTGATTGGGAGTTTGTGGGCTTGTATAGGGTTTTGGGAACTCTAAAGTGGGTTGATTAGTTGTTTTTCTGCTGTTCTCTGGCGATGTGTGGAATTCTGCTGCATACTTTTATCTGCCTGGTCATTCGTTTGCCATTTCTGCTGCAAGAAATCACAGTGGTACAATTTTTTGCCAGCGACGTCCCTGATCTGGGTTTTCTCATGTGTTCTCCAGCTTGAAGATGTACAATTCCTTAGTAGAGAAATGCTTCTGCCACTGTGTAGAGAGTTTTCGGAGGAAGTCTTTAGACAAGCAAGAAGAGACATGTGTCAAGTGGTGCGCTGAGAAATACTTGAATCATTCTATGCGGGTCAGCATGCGCTTTGCAGAGTTAAACCAGAGTGCCCCTACTCCCGATTGAATGCGCACCTATCGCATTATACATACAAAGTGGTGGAGCCACTTTTTCACTTTACCAATATTACGATAGGGATTTAGATACTCTTTTCTGGATTCTCGAAATGATGTGCATCCAAGGGCATGAAACTATAGGTGCAAGAAAAAATTTACATGGTTTGAACTGCAATTTAATACTCAACTGCAACCCAAAAAACAATTTATTCCTCATTAACCTACAAACACCCTCACTAGTCAGTCTGGGATAAGATTGAAAATGTGGAAATTTCATAAACTTCTAAGATGTACAATTCCAGATTCCTACTGTAGTACACACTGTCTAGATGGTGCAAATTGTTTCAGTCAAACAAGCTCAGAAGGATCCTCATACTTTGACAGAACAGAAAATTCAGCCTGACAATAGGCGGTGTGCCATAAGCTACAAGGTTTTGATGATCCCTATTCTTAGCAATATCACGCCTTAGACATGTGATACCTAACTGCCGTCCTCTGCAGCACTGGGAAGTGACCCATCATAGTAGTCACACATGATCCATCATAGCAGTCATGTTCAAAGAAAAGACCAAGGTCTTCCTTCAATAACGCAAAACACTTTTCAGTTGAAAGCTTTTCTGTGATAAATCACCGGGAATGTCTCACAGAAGCTTGAACCAAGTTGTAGAAGGCTTATTAGGCTCGACCTTCAAATTAGGTGGACTTTGTCTTCAGCAACCATCACTCGGTTAGCTGCTTGCATTTTCTGCAAACCAGAGGCATTGTGCATGTGAGGAAAGATGCTTATGGAGCCTTCTCCCACTACATATAAGCATGAAATCTTCACTATGTCCAGGATTCGTACCAGGAGCATGTATGTGATTCACAACAAAATAGCAGACTGAAATGATTTAGGGTTCGGACGAGGTTCATTTTGATAATTATGCTCCTAAAAATAAAAAATAAGAAAAATGTCAGCACGAAGGTTTCGTCGACAAGTACCTGCAGGACACATTCAATCTCTCCGGCAGAGAAAGGTCTGGGATTGTTGGCGTTCACAATAGAGGCAAGTTCCGACAATTGGACAAACTCCAGGCGGTTGGTCATTGTATGTTGGGAGAACATATTTTGAAATTGTAGCTCCCTAAGAAGCGAAAAATGGGATAAAAGAGAAAAGAAAAAATAGTTAATTCAATGACGAATAACAAAAGTGAAGAGACCAGAGCCCCACAATGTCACACGAGAATAACCAAAATCTAACTTGAATGTCCAATAGTTTCGGGAAGTAATGAGCCATTTCCTAATCAACATTAAAAGGTTCTCCACCTAAACGTGGTATACAAATCACAACCTAACAAACCAGAATTCAATAATATCCTACACTGATGTAGTGGAATAAAGTAGCAGTAAAAATATATGCTTGGTGAAGAAAATCCTCATTTCATATCGAATTTTTATTCTCTGATTTGAAGCAATGAAAACTCACTAAAATCTTACCTCTGTGGAGATACTTCAATCAAAGGCTTTGTTTGTTCTTCACTGTCAAAAGCTTCACTGTCTAGACCGTCATCTTGCCTGCAAGTCCCCAAATCACTTGATCGTAAACAATCATGATAACTAGCTCGCATTGATAACCTGGCCAGAGAAGCCCTACTCACAGAAAAGTCAAGGGGATGCCACATGTATCACCTGGTGGAAGCAGCTGTCCCTAATCTTTCATCTGTTGATATGAACTCTGCATCTTCCATCTCTACATCCCCTCCCTTCTTCGGAGTGCCTTGGCTCCTAGTGTTCCTTTGCCTTTTCCTTGGTGTCCTCCTGAAAGATGTTGCAGAAGTTTAAGCACTACATAATTGGCTTACGCAATTGAAGTATCACATCCAAAACCAGCACTCCATTTGACAAGCAGGTACTAACAGACACCAGAGATCGAATATCTAGAAGTGATATTTTGAACCTGTTATCAGTTGATAAATCTTCCTCATTATCAGCATTATCATGAGTCTCCACACCACTGTTCTCTGCCGAGCGCTTCTTCTGAGCTTCTTGCTCTCGTTCTCGATCTCTTTCGGCTTCCCTTTCATCCATATCCGTGAGCTCCTTGTGGTAAATCGCAAAGTTCATAACACCTAGTGCTGCATCCACATCAGCTTTCGTAACCTGAAAACAGAAAGTCCGACTATCCAGCGTCAGAAAGGAGAACTACCAAAATAAAGCTCGTTCATCGCATACCGCTAAATAGAGCTTTTCTGAACCTTCAAAGCACATGCATTAATGAGGAAAAACTTGATTATAAGGACTGCTAACATGACACCTGGTTTCTCAACTTCAGTTTTGCATGGGCAGCTGAGAGTCGGATGATGGTTTCTAGCGTTCGAGCAGTGACAGGTAGTGTCCCCCCTCCTACACCCTGCATCGCCAAGCATATTAGTCAGACGCGTCAAAGCAGAGTATCGACACTTACCAGGCATGCTAGTAACATCGTCGAAGGAAGAAGAAATTACTACTACGATGAAAACATTCTCTGATCTGTCTATTTTGTCATTCTCACTATTTGTCACTTTCACAAGAGTGAAGCTAGCAAGTGCACAGAGAGCATTAGTAGGTGTTGATAGGAGTGGATCATAACCTTGTCTGAGCCGTTGTTACGCATTTCAGCATAGGTCTGAGCAATTTGCTCCGAAGCCTGGAACAAAATTCAGTTTTAGTAATCATTCTCATAATCCATATGTTAGTAAATCCTGACACTCCAAAGGAGCTCAGAGCAGGCTAAGGATGATGCAGCATTCTGGTTTCTTGAGTTGATGTTAGTGCAGCATACCTCTTCTGTAAGGACGGGCATGATTCTGCTCTTAGCATAGTGAATGTATTTCTTCAAAAATTTAGTAGTGAGTTTATCGCGCTTGGTATGTCGAGTAACTTTCTTCTCGCCATGAAGCAGGCGATTGTACTTCACAAATACTGCTGTTGCATGTTCTGCTTCTTCGTCTTCATCTCTGGTGTCAGCTCCCCTTGGCATGCCTGCATGAAGCATGTTCATAAAGCATTGAGGTTTCCAAACAAATGCCTAATTAAATGGTATAGCGATACTCATCAGAGTAATTGGAAACTATGGAATCGGTAAGTCTGGGCAAAGAAATGATACTAATATAAGGAAGCAATATATTTTAAGTGTGTTCAAGGCAATGAGTCTCGAATTTAGGACCTGTATCCTCTCCGGCAGAACGATATCGGTGCATCCGCAACACGTGCTCTGAAATTTGGCGATCAATATCTGGATCCATTTGATCCAGCACTATGAAAAGCAGGTCAAATCGTGACAGCAATGAATCGGGCAGTCCAATATTTTTGGTCGGTGTAAGCGATCGATCATACTGTACACCATCAACTTTCGTGTTAATTGCATCTACAGAGATCATGTATGCCAGAACATACATTCACATTTTCCCTCCACATACATTTTGCTATCCGTGAATTTGGATGTAAATATCTGACTCCGAAGCAGATACTTAGCACTTACCGAGCCAAAAATAGGATTAGCAGCTGCAACGACGCTGCACCGAGCATTGAGAGACGCATGAATGCCAGCTTTAGCAATAGTAACAGTCTGCTGCTCCATAACTTCGTGGATAGAAACTCGGTCAAGATCACTCATTTTATCAAACTCGTCAATGCACACTATGCCGCGGTCGGCTAAAACCATCGCCCCTGCCTCTAGCCTCCTCTCTCCTGTTTGTAGAGATACCACATTCAGAATAGTCATGTGATCTACAAGACCAACTTGTATAGAAATTTGAAGTCTGATAGGTTGTGAGAATGGTACGATAATCTCCCATCCGCCAAGTATCGTCAGTATGAAATCACTTCCTTAGGGCTACAACTAAGGAGAATGGAGTACATATCTTACCTGTTTCTTGATCACTGGTGACAGCAGCTGTAAGACCTACGCCCGAAGACCCTCGACCTGTAGTGGATATAGCTAACGGAGCGATATTCATGATTGCACGTAGAAGCTGTGACTTGGCCACCGAGGGGTCTCCAACCATCATCATATTCACATCTCTGCAGCGAAACGGCCATGAGCATACTTGCAATCGATAAAGCACGATCTCATGCCACAATTCAAGATGGATTCAAAACGCCTGATCAATGGATCTCAATATTTAAAGCAGCATAATCTTGCTACAATTATATAATAAGTTTCTATTCAGATTAGAGTAAGTAAATCTGGATCATAGTTTTGAAGACCAGAGGTGGATATGATAGAAATACCCGCGAATGTGAGTTCCGTTCTTCAAATTTTTCTCCATCCCTCCAAGCAGCTGTAAAACCACTGCTTTCTTTATCCATGAATGGCCATAAATGGATGGTGCAAGCGATTCTGCCAAAAGATCGAAGGTATCTTGCCTCTTTCCAATCTTTTTGATGTTACTAAGATCTTCACCAGTAAAAATAGGTGCGCTGATTTCTTTGTTCAGCTGGCATATGTTATTTGCAATCAGTACCGTCCTGCACACAGGTATGTGTTTTATGAAGAATCAACACCCCTGATATGGAATTCCCGCTGAGCTGCCCAGAACCAAGATTTACAGACGTCGCCCAATATTTCGGACCACAGAAGTAAGCAAGGAGCTAGATCGACACTTGACTATTCGATGTTATGTTCGTGACTCAGGCACTACTGCAGTGCCAGCAATACACCTGCTAACAACAACTACTGCGCCAGTTACACACAACCGACATGCATTACCGGAACACGCCATTCATGCTCCCTTTGTTAGCACCAGGGATTGCTTTAAAGATCCCTACAATGGCAACTCGATCTCCAGGTTTGCAAACATCCACCAAATCATCCTCTGCAATGACGTCGATGGAACGTGGCAGCTGACCAGGTGCAGAATTCTCTGGCATTTCTTGAATAGCAATAGTCTGGTGGTCTCGAAACTTACAGAGCCCAAACTCTGTTACTAGCAAGTTACCTTGGTCATCCTGCCAATGCATAATTTAGATTAAGTATACCAAATACTAGTTACATTCAACTACCGGTCATGTAAGGACCCAATCACTGCAGTGCAGGTTACGAACACCAAGATGTCATATGTAAAATAAACATCTGGCAGTCAAAAATAGAGATGGTGAAAGGATTACCCGAGTGGGATACACGGAACCCGTTGGAAGGCCAGACGCAGAAGTTATATCCCGATACTCACGATTCAAGAACTCGCCTGTGGTGGGGCAGAAATGAACGCTCTTAACCACTTTGGGCCTCACCAGAGAACCTGTCATGGATCACCACAAGTCAAGTGGAGTGTGAACGCGGCTGTTGAAATATGCTCGGACATCAGAGGCACCCATCAAGCATGAAGCATGATACTTTGAAATGAAAAAATTATATCTGTAGGATTGTATTCATGAGGAGATTTAGACCGTGGCATATCTAATGAGGCAGTAAAGGCACTCACACTTGGTAACAATGCCCTCCACAGACACCATAGTGCTCAGAAAGGGTGACAGAAGTTCTCGTGGAGTAAGTCTGTGAAACCCAAACGGACCCTCGAAACCAAGGAGGACCTCCTCTTCTTCACTTAAGTACTTTGGGTTCGCATTCCTAGCTGCTTGATCCAGGGCTTCGGTGAATGGTTGCATCATTTCACCAGGTCTCTGAAGCAATCTGTGCAATGTAGGCCAAGCGATCAAATCAATGCCAACACCTTTGTACTTGTAAAGAACAACAACTGCAAAGCAGACATCTTGATGAAATAATCGTGATTGGTATCGACAGAAAGTCATGTCGAGGTGGGTGCTCCATGTATTGGAAAATAATATGAACAAGAACAGATGATGTGAATGATGATTGTGCATTGGATGTACCGGCGGGTGAGGTCGGGGTCGAAGTTTCGAAGGTCGGTAAGGTCTACAAGGAGCCGTTTCCTAGATGTGTTGAACATATTGCGAATTTTCTCCATGTACACACCTTGACCCATCTGTAAACAACATGCTCGATCAGGCATTTTCCGTGGACACAAAACGGCAGGCAAAATTAGCCCCGCTATTCTACCAGATGCTCGACATGATTTTCTTGATTGTGGGTCAATACATTACGAGCTAAGCTTTTCCTACATATGGATGCATTAAGTTCACAGTAAGCTCAGCCACCCTGACACTGTCGATTGTCTACGGACTGCACACAATTTAAACCTAAGATACGATGTTGAGAGAGAGGAGGAGGAAGTTCCGACCCTTGGTAGCCAATCTGACTAGACCAAACAATGCTGTGACTACGAAACAGCTGGCAGCTACGAGACCCGACATCTTCGAAAACAAAAATTTAAACAATCATGTAACTCGAAACCAAACTCCAAAAACGGCCCAGAGATGGTCGCATTCAACCTCAACATACTCAAACTCCCGAAAGACATGCAAAAAAAAAGGAAAAAAAAAAAAAAAAAAAAAAAAAAAATCACAGCAACAACCACAGCAACAAGGAAGCACGAGGGAAGCTCACATCAGGATCAAGGAAGTCCAAGAACGTGCGCTTGTACGCAGCGCTGCTCTCCGTATTCATGTCCATGGTCGCTCGCGAAAGGAATGTTTCACCTTCACCTCCACCTCCACAACCCCAGGCTTTTAAAACCCTCCCTCGCCACACGCTACGGTACTACACTTACAAGCTCCCCGCGAGGGCGACGGAGCCTCTCACGCATTCCAACTTGGGTTTCCGCAACTGAACAATTGGGTGCGACAATCCAACCCCAAGTCACGAGCTTCGATTTTGGGCGGGGACAATGCGAGCATCGGAGGATGAGGACGAGGAGGGCGGGCGAGCGGGCGGGCAGGCGATGGCAACGGACCGAGCGAGCGAGCGAGGCCTGATTGCTGGGCACCACCGGAGTTGCGTTGGGCGCCAATTGCAATTTGGCGCCAAATTTGTGTCCACCTCGGATCTTCATCGGAGGTGTCTTCATCTGTGAGGTTTCATCCTCCACGTCATCCCGCCGCGGATATAGGTGTCCCTTCCTGCTGTTGGTTTTTCCGTGGTCTGAGTTCGAACAACTCTTCCCGTTGCCTCAATTCAAATCAGCCATTACGTGTGATTTTCTTTAGATTTGAAAATATGTTGAAATGTGTGTACGTAATTATTCATTTAATTGTTAATTTTAAATATATATATATATATATATATAAACTAAACTTCACTTTGTTTAGTTTAGTTTACAACACTTTTTTATAAGATTAGGTGTAAAACAAAGACATAAAGTAGCCTTCTCATTGGCCAAAATCAAAGAAATTGTCAATCAGCAAAAAGTCCTACATACCCATCAAAAAGATCTCCAATTTACTACCCATACAACAAATCATTTTATAGCTTTTATGTGTCCAACAGCACAAGATTTCACTAGTATATATATATATATATACATGTGTGTGTGTGTGTGTGAATGAGTTCTTTTTGTGTTCTTCAAATCAATCAATACTTTTAATTCTAAGATTTTGTATCATTTTAAGTTTCAAACATATTTCTTAAAATTTGTATCCACATTATATTCTCAATGTAAGAAGATAAATAAATAATAAATAATAAAATACAATTTAATAAAAACTTCAACTTGTAAATTCAATACAGTGTCCAGTTCATTGCAATTATGCATTGTTTTTAAGGTTAGTTGATAACACAGAGAATCATGTATCATTTCTTATGTGTGTAGGTATATACATACATAATTACACACACACATACATGTTTTTTTTATTTAATTAAATCTAAAAATTTATCATATGATTGAAAATAAAATCAATATAGAAACATACCATTAAACATACCAAAAAAAATACGGATTTATTGGAAAAATAAAGATTCAACAAAACGATTATGATTTTTTTTACACCAAAATTTTAGAAAAAATAGAATTATAATAACTCCGACTACATTACAATATAGTATGTAGCATTTTTAAATCCATCATATCCCTTGTTGTGTAACAAGAATTTTAATCAAAACAAATGGTTTAAACAAATGGTTATTTTCAATGACATTGGTATATTTCATATATATATATATATATATATATATATTTGGCATCTTATGTAAGTGAGTTATTTCTGAAATTACATAACTTGCCAATTTCATGTTATATTCAGTAATCTAAACTCTAAAATAATAATAATCATCTTCAGAGATTAGGTTTCAAATTTCAAATTCTATCTGAAATTTTACAAAAAGACGAAGTTATAAACTACATTCGGTTTCAATGTTCATGATTTTAAATTACAACAAACTAGTAAACAAAAACTATACTTGTGCTTTTATTGTTACATGTGAATTTTTATATAATGGATGTTTGAATTTGAAAAATGAATGTAACTTGAATCCATACTTAAAGAATATCACTTCAACTTTAATTCAGTTCAATTTTTTTACCTTACATCTACTTGACCATGATAAAACATATATAATGTAGGGGGTTTATAACTTTGAGAAACACACAATAGCTATTTAAATTGTATTTGAAAATGAACGAAAATATTTTTCTTCTAACATAATGTTTCAGTGTTTCACCAAATCTGCAAGAAAAAGAAAAAGACCATTTTAGTTTTTATGTATATATATATATATATATCCTTTTTTAATTGAACTTTATTTAGCACTAAACACATCTAAATTTCAAAAAGCCACAAGCCTAGTACACACTACATCCTTTATGTCTCCTTCTTTGATTTACATTTCATTTGGTCATGCAATCGTTGCCCTCAACCCCCATATATATATATATACATATACATACATACATATACATGCACTCACATGAAACCATTATGGTTTTTCTTTTTTCTTTTTTTTTTCTTCCTCCTTCATCAAGTGGTTTCTTTTTCATTGAGTGAGCCACCCAAATCAAAAAAATGGCTGGTGAAGGATTCCAATCAATTCTCAAACACATTCACATCAAAAAGACCACAATAGTGGATGGGGGTTGATGTGGAGGGGGTAATGAAAACAATCACCTCCACCATCACGGCCGCAACAACAATATTGCACCACAAGGGTGCAATATTGTGTCCCCATTTGGTTCCCTACGTCCTATTCCTTCTCATGGATGGGGGTAGGGTTGTCTCATTTAGAGTTCTTTGTGGTATCCCTTCTTCCTTGTGATATATATTACTACTATTTATTATTTTGATGATAATGATGATGATAAGCCAAGATGCTAGTTTTTGGAAGTGTAGAATATGACCCATTTGTTGTTTTTATAATTCCCTCCACCCCAAAATTGTATCCTCTTTACGACCATAGCCAAGCTCTTCTATTCTACAAAAACTAGCATGCAATCAGCCATTCAATGCATATGCCAGCCTTTTTTTTTTTTCTTTTTTTTTTTGTCTCTTTTGATTGCCAATAACAAAATTTATATACTTTTAATGTGATAGTTAATATAAGTCTTGTATGTAAGTACATAGATATTACATTGTTTTATAAATATTACAATTGAAAAGTATGCATTATGACTTACCTTTCCAATCAATGCATTGGGTATACCCCAGCCATGTCAAGAGGAAAGGAAAAAAAAAGAAAAAAGTGCATTATGTTTAAGTATACATGCATTTAATGTACATATATATATATATATATATATATATATAAAATTTTGAAACGGGTTTATATTTTTGTTTGAAAATAATGAAAAAATACAAGAAACTTAAATCTAAATTAAGACATAAAAATCTGGGAACCTCAGAAGTGGTAATTTTTTTAATATGATATTTATTGAAGCATGTTTTAAACTACCAGTGTGAATATAGATGAGTCTAGTCTTGTGATCTTGTTTTTTGATTTATTTCCACAATCATAATTTGTTCACAGCTGTTAAATGACTGTAGTGGAACCAGTGATACAATACACAATCATATATAAATAAGGAAAAATAATAATTCCAATAAATTGATTCAAAATGCGTAATCATGTATGATGGCTACTTTAAAGTTCAAATGTACTTTTTAGTCCTTGCTGTGCTTAGAACACATCACAACCTTTGAAAAAGATACAATAGTGAATGTTGTACTTTTCTGATAAAATTTCAAAACAGTGTCCTTATTTGTTGAAATGGTTTTTGATTTGAAAATCTTACAATGTGGCATAAAAGTTTCTAAAAAACTTCAATAAAAATCAGATTATATAATATAATAAACTTAATGCAATTCCATCCTCATAGCATTGCCGAATTTAATATGTTTTTTTGACGTAATTATATTAAATTTTAGATGGTTATCCTTTATATCTATAAGTACTGGATTTAAAGAACTGTAACATGATTCATGTTTCATCTATGTTTTCTCGCTAGCAATATTTTATGGCATTCCTACTGCAAATTGTTAAATTAAAACATTAACAATGTTATAAGATTTAATACTCATGAAATTTATGTTGTTGTTTTTTAACATGTCATTTATTTTTTGCATAATATTTACAATGAAGGTACTGATATTGCACATATTTTACTTATGTTCCTAAAGCATTTGATAGCCTTGTAAAACTATTTCAGGATAAGATCAAAACAAACATGTATTTATTTATGCATGATTGTATGTATATGTATAGCAAGATATAGCTTGAATCTGGAACATGATGAAATGGAAACAATTATATATAGAGAGAGAAAGAATAAAAAATTAAGATATAAGATATATATGCATATATATATAAAATATATATATATATATATATATATATATGTGTGTGTGTGTGTGTGTGAGAGAGAGAGAGAGAGAGGAGACTTAATACAAACTATAAATTATTTACCTTATTATTCAATCAAATTTCTTATTTTTTGGATGAGAGTTCTTTGTCTTCAAATGAAACTTTAGCTTTGAGAGACAATTGTGATATTTCATTCATAAAACTTTGTATTAATTCAGCATTTGTTTTCACAGGACTTTCATTTGCATAGTACTTATAAGGACCGAGTTTCTATAATTCCAGAAAATCAATTTTGTTTGCAATCAATGACTTTTTTTTTCATATGACACAATTATATGATATACACATTTTAAAATAATAACTTGTGTGTATATATATGTCTATAGAAAGAGAGATAGTGAGTAAATCATGAGTGATGAATTAAAAGAATAATGAGGAATCTCTTCAACAAATTGTGTAATTGAAATAGTAGAACAAATTTACATACCAAATTTGCAAGTTGCAGCAATATCAATTCAAACTCCTTGAAATTGATTTCAAGTTCTAAATACAAAGTTGGATCCCCATCTTGATATTTAATTTGATACAATGTTTCTGAAATTGTTTTCAATAAAATTTGATATGATCCAGTTGTTTTATTATCTGCAACATTCTCATCTTGATGAACTTTTTGTTCAACGGTTTTAGATGGTGGCCGCTTTTGTGGAATAGGATTACTTTCCTTTGGAGCACTGCCATCTAAATGTTTTTGATCTTCAAAATTATACACAACATTCTACCAAATAGAAACAGCATGTTGGTATTTTTTTAATAACATTCCAAACTAGTAAAAAGTAATAATGCATAGAAATCTTCATTATAGTGGTATGGTTACTATAATTAAATCAAATAGTTGGTTATATTTGATTTGATGCATTTGTGTGTAACAAAATGGTACAATTATAACTTTGTGCTTTGTGAATATTTGTAGAATTTTGTTTTTTTTTTTTTTAGTATCAGAAATATCTTAAATTTTGAGTTTTTTGAACAAATAAAATGATGAATGAGTTGTGCAATATACCAAAAAGATTTTTGTGCATTAGTAATGATTGTAATAAAAACAACAATGGGTAGGATATTAGAGTTAGAGTTGATGATAATAATATTAATTTTACCAAGAAAAAATTAAATATGTGCTTAATTTTAATAAAAAACCCATTTGTTTTACTTTTCAAAATAAACTTTCCAAATAAAACTTTGAAATGTTGCTTGTATTGAAGAAGAACAGCTTGAGTAGGTTGGTCCACAGAAAACTTATATAATGAATCTTCATTGTTGTTCCCAATTTTATTGAAGCAACTCTCAAAAAACTCATGCAACTTGTATTTCAGAAAAAAACAAAAAATAAAAAAAATTAGATTATCAATATTTATTTTATGAGGTAATATTGTATATAATATTTTAATATTCAGACTGGAAAAACCATGATTTGATTGGAAGAAACTTTAGGAGACCTATATTAAATACCTTCTTCTCAAGTTGAATTCCACACCCAAAACATTTGGTTAAACCAATTTTTATTAGATTTTCAACTACTTCTTGGTGAATCAGTTTTCTTTTCTGAAAAACATCATATGAAAAAATCTCAAATATGTTTCGAATTTGTATTTTTATGTAGTTTAAACTACATGAGTTTTAAATTATGTGTAGTAGAGTTATTTTCATATGAATTTATCAAAAAATGGATTTCAAATACTAAAAGTGAATTATTTAAAAAGTTTACCGGGCAATACAGGTCAAAAGCATCATCCCATGCATTTGATGGAGGATAGATTATCACATCTATTTGAGCTAATCCAAGTCCAGGTTCCATAATCTGTAATACACCCACATAATTTTTGTGTATGCTTTACTCATTTACAAGTATAACAATTAAAACAATCATACAATAGGTTTCTTTTATTCCTCATACACACAAATTATGAAACTCTCATATGAACTTGAAGCTTGATTATTAAATTGGGGAATCCTCTATTTTTTCACACAAAATGATACTAAGTTGTGTAGAAAATACATAAAAAATAAAAAGACTGAATTAAAGTATTGATTACTTTTCATCAAACAATGTTACACAAACACATACATGAGCACTATAACACAGATGCCAAAAACTTTCCACTGTCATAGCATACGATTGGCCTTCCAAGCGCATGTTCTTATAAATATTACACAAATTGTCATTGACATCACCAAATCCACTACTAATAGAAGTGACATCACTTCCTTCATTTTGCACATACTTTGCTATATGCTCCAAATACTCTTTAGAAAAGTTGTTTTCTGAGCCTTTGGTAATTGTGGAATTGGGCAAACCATGGTTTTTGAAGATGGCATTTAAAAGAAGCAAAGATTGGTCAATTTCACATGGTATGCCGCCTTCATTTGAATATTGTTGTTCTAAGTTCTTATTTTCCGGCAAGAGGAGTTGAGGAGACAAAAGCTTTTCTCCATCACGTTTTGAAAGGCTTGATTTCCTAGAAGAATTCTGGTTCACTTTTGTAAATGTTGGTGTGGAATCAACCTGCTCTTGCTTTTCTTGTGGGATGTTTTCACTTGCTTGCATGCTTAGAGCACTGACTTTATAATAAAGCAAAAAAATCTATGTTAATTCTTGTATGTAATTAAGAGTAGTAATACATCTAGTTTTTAATATATTAATCTTTGGATTTTAAATGATATCAAATGAGCTGTTTATCTAATGCTTTATTCAAACTTAAAATTAAAAATTATTGTAACGTTGCTTTGAGGGGTTTAGAAACTCAATAAACATGTTTACAGTGACTTTGTTATTGTTATTATGGGAGAGAAAACTAAGTATTGGTATATTCAAAAAACTCAACTCAGACATAGAAAATCTTGCATGCTTATGATTTATTGCTAGCGTAAGAAAGATACAAATGATTTTTAATAGAGAACATAGTTCATTTATTGAAACATACTTCATAGAAAAGGAAAAAAAAACATGTATTTAATGTTACTAACCTGTAGTTGTGGAATGTAGTTCGAAAGGCATTAGCAAATCTTAGGGTTATATACAACAATTTTAATTTCAGCCTGTCCATGTCATCAGTGTTGTTTGTGACATTGTCCAAAGCCTGAAAATGTTTACACTAACAATAAAAATCTATGTTTTTAAACACTTTACATATAATAATTTTTTTATAAAATAATACGAATTTAATTTTATGTATTATCCAGAATAATTTAATGGTATAAAAAAAAATACACAGTGGTCAATTTTTATGAAGGATATATAATTTATTAGTAATGTTCACATGTCTGATTAGAATCATTGTATCTTTGTTGTTGTTTATGTCAAAGTGATCTAAATTACAAATGACTTTGTTCAATCTTCCATCCTCATATGTATACAAACCGTGTCCATTTTTTAAATTATTTTTCCAATATCCCTTCAAAAGAAATATATATTTAATATTTTAATATTTTTTTAATATTAAAGGCTTAAAGCAGAATGAATTATTGCTTCAGAAAATGCTAATCAAATCATCAGGTATCACAATTATTTTTTTTGCTTTGAGCAATAATTTATCAAATATTATACATTTTATTTTTATAATTTTTCTATTTTCTATTTTAAATAATTTTAATACTTGATATATTGCACCATTAGCATAGTAAAAAGTGCCTCTATTGGACCTCATTCCATTTTCAAAGCCTCCAATATAGGCATTATGCAAAACACCAAGGATCTCCTTGTTTTGGTCCCAAATCCATAACTGTTTCCCACTGTAGACAAAACCAAACAAAGCATAATTTTTGTGTCACATTAAATTTAGATGTTAATGTAACATATATTGGGTTGATTTTACTGACATAAATGCTTTAAGAATGTACAAGTTTGTGAGTTTAAAAACTTCACAAACTACGTAAATTCTTCATTCTTATGAAATGGACAATCATTTACAAATTTCAAAATTCATCATATGTGAAATAGTATAAACTAATTGTCCACTATTAAGAGGAATTATTTTATGTAACATTATAGTATAGCAACAAGTAACATAAAAAATTAAAAAGAAAAAAAGAAAAAAAATGATTCATGTAAACAATCCTTTATTTTCTTCACAATTGTGGATAATATAAAATGAAAATTAATGCATCATCTCTCTCTTGATACATATATATAAATAACCTTCCATGTGGAAAGCCTCTGATCCAGCTTCCTTCATAAACAGTAGCAGAATATACAGGCATCTGTAAACAATTGCTTTTTGTTTTGTCTACAATTTGAGTTTGGATGCCAATCCCATCATGCTTTCCATGCCTCCATTCCCCTTCATAAGTTGAATGTAAGTATAGAAATCTTCCATGACCATGTTTTTGATCTTGCATCCATTCACCCATATAATTCAAACTATTTATCCCATCGTTATATGTCATTTCACCCTACATATGAATTGAAAACCAATTTATAAATACTACCACACATGATACTCAGCTGATTTCTTTTTCTTTTTTCTTTTTTAAATTGATACAATTAAAAAAAAATTAAGGGAAGCTTACAGTAAGTTACAAAACAGACTGTACAATATGATTTAAATGAATTTGAACAGCAATCAAACACTTGTTCATGCACAAATAATATACAGAAGACTGGTGTTTTATGGAAGAGTACATTCTTAGCAGTCAAACAAAATGTATTAAAAATAAGAATATGAAAATTTGAAGCATTTCTTTGAAGTGGGATATATATGTATACACACACGTAAAGTACCATGTATTGGTAGTTGAGACTTGATTATATACATATGTGTATATATATATATATATATATAGATGTTTTTTCTTTTCTTTTCAAAAACTGTTTTGTGGTTGACATATCTGATGGATTTATTTATGTAAAAATAATGGTTTTGAAAGAAAAAAAAGAGAGAAAAAACAGGAAAAATAAGAAGAAGCAGTATTCAAAACTGTTATGTGGTTAGGAAATACCAATCCCTCTCGTAAACCATGAGCAAAATTTCCACGATATGCATCTCCACAAGTACCCTTTCGCATGTTACCTGATTTGTTTGGGAATCCATCAAAGATCTACATGCATCTACAAGTTTCTTCAGTTTCCACCTCAATTTACTATTTGCATGCGCGCGCACACACACACACACACATATATATATATATATATATATATGTAAGAATGAATGAATGAATGAAGGACAAAAAGTATTCATTTATACATAAATAAACTCATTAGAAACAATACCGCGCCAATGTAAGTGCCATTTCCATCCCAATCATATTTTCCACTTTCATGCAAGCAATTATAAAAGAAAGTCCCTAAGTATGAATGATCTTCTCCAAAATTGGACTTCCACTTCAATAAACCATGGCCATGCAAAAAACCATGCTTGAAACTACCTAAAAATGGCATCTTCTCACTCAAAATCATATCTATATATCAATATAATGATATAAAATAGGATAATATAATATGCTATATATATATATATATAGAACATTGAGCAATGATCATAAACCCACCAAAATAATAAATATTCATCCCTAAAAAAGCCTTTCCTTCTCCTTCAACAAATTTGTTGGAATTTGTTTCTTGTTGTTCTTCTTCAACCATAACCTTCTCAAGTGCTCCTCTTCTGCTATTTCTTACTCTTTCTACTTCACCATTCTTCTCCAAGCTTTCTAAATTGTTTGGTTCTTTCCTCCATGAATGCCACATCCATGCACTCATAATAGTGGGTGAAGGCTTTGAATTCTTTAAATGCTCATATGTATTGAGAAGCTCCAATACATTTGCATGTTCTAAAAACAACTTGTATATTTGTTTTTCCTCTTCTCGGGCTTTTTCAAGCTCCATAGCAGCCGTGTATGGTGATTTATTATCTTTCATTGAACTCTCAACTTTAGGAATTGGAATTGATACTATGGAAACCTTTCTTGAAGATCTTTTTTCCTCCATGTTGATAAATTCTTCTCAATCTTTTTTTGTTTGTTTTGGTAATACTTGAATGATCTTGTGTATGAAATATTTTAGTCAAAAAGCCAAAGTTAAAATGCATCAACATTTTGGGTGTAAAAATCATAATTTTTATTCATAAAAAATTACCAAATTATTCTAATAAATGATTCAATTCTAACCGAAAATTCTAAAGTTTATATGTATTATTACAATAATGATGATCACGATTGATTTTTCTATTTAATTTTTTTTTCAAACTGTTTAGCAAGTTAAATCATCAAATCAAACATTCTACAATTCAAATGAGGCGACATGAAATACAATTACATTTACAGACCATAATTTAAATCATGCATTATGAATGGTGTCAAAATTAAATCCTTGAATATATACACACAAGAAATTGCATTTGAATATTTCAATGTATATATACAATCAAACTATAACCCTTGTTATGCACTCAATTTCATCAGAAATACCACTTTATTTTGAATGCAATTTCATTTTTTTCCTTTTGTGTAAATTTAATGAAGATACACAAGTTCCATTAACATTTTTTTCCAAAAGTTCAATATAATGATTTTTTTTTTTGTTTTTTTGTTTTTTTTTTTCAACATTTTGAAAACTAATCCATGTTGGTTCAATTAATCTAAATATTTGTTAACAAAAACATTTGGACTAAAAACTGGATACTTTCAAATCCATTACAGAATGAACTCAACTTTGATGGATTGTCTAATAAGTATAATACAATTTTTTTCTTGATGTTTTTTAATGTAGATATTATCTAAATATAGAAAGAGTATAAAGTTGTTAACATCAAATTGAACTGTTGCCTAAATATTTCCTTGTCAATTCCCACAAAAGTTTTGTAATTTGAAAATGATTGAAATTCATTTTGTAGCATTTAATCACCGCATCAAATATTATTTTTTAGCATATATATATATATATATATATATATTACAATATACGCACACACCAGAGAAGGAGACCAGTTCAGCAAGCTAAATGGTTTTTAGGTCTCATAAGAATTTCATTTGATGTGTGATCACCTGAATTTTAAAAATTATCCTTTTTAATGATTCTTTTCAACTATTCAAAAATACCCTGCCATAATTTTTTCTAAACATTTTTTTAAAAAAAATTAAAAATAGAAAAAATGTGTATTGGTTAACAGTATTGCAAAAAATCATAAAAAATAAAAGTTTAATAATTTTACTCAATCATAAATCATTTTGAATTTAGCCAATTAGAATATTTCAATGGCAGCCACCAATTCTTTGACTATATATATATATATATATATTGTATGCCTGTGTTTAAGCTGTTATTTTTAATAATAAAAATATATCAAGTAAAAAATAATTTATTATATAAATATAAATAATTCAACATATGAATCAAATATATTTGAAATATAACACATCAAAATGGACTAGGAGAAACCACACACATACACAAAAAAAAGAAAAAAAGAAAAAGAAAAAAAAAGAGTTTAAATAAGAACCAACAGGTAAATTTAGTAAAACCCAGATAGAAACTAAGTATGAAAACTCCGGATAATAACAATAATTTATTATTAGTTTCATGTTGTTGTTAGTGCCATAGCAAAAACGAGGATGAGCGTAAGGAGATAAGCCATTTCCGGAGAAGCAGAACAACCTTCAACTTTTACCTTCTCCCCTTAAGGTCCGAGTACTTTAAAGCGAAAGCAAGGGAGTCATCCGGGGAACGCGTTCAAGAGGAGGAGTGCAAGATGGGGAACGAGGAACGGGGGAGGGAGCGAAGCGTTGAGCCCCCGTTGCATGGCAGCGCGGGCCCGGGCCTGGCCCTTCTTGCCCCTCCCCCGCCCCGCCCGGCCCGCTGCATTCAAACCCGGGCTCTGCAGAGCACAGCACCGCATCGCGTCGCAGTATCCAGGGCGGGATTGTATATTCCTTCACCACTTCTGTTTGTGAAGATGTTGCTGCATTGCTACCAATGTCTGATCCCTGCTTGCATTTGTGCTTCGGGAACTCTACGTGACTGTGTGTCTCTGTAAGCGACCAGAAGACGAAGAAACGAGGAGGAGGTGAAGGAATACGCGCATTTGGGCTGAAGAGTAGTAGCGTGTCTGTTTTCTTGGAGTGTCTTAGTGTTGATGCTGTTCTCGTAGATTGAAAGTATTGCAGTTGGCTCTCCTTGCTCTGCTCTTTTTTCCAATCCCTCCTTGTCTTACAGTTTTTTGGAATTTGCCTTCCCTTTTTGTTTTGTTTTGTTTTTGTTTTTGTTTTTTTTCTTTTTCTTTTTTGGTTTTGGTTTGTCTGGTTTCGGGTTTTGCCCCACCGACGAGGGGATCTTGAGTCGAGACTTGAAGGCCTGCATTGTGGCGCAGTCTTAGTTGGTTGGTGGTTGTATGGGAGTTGGGGAGTGTTTGTGGTGGGTGAAGTGATCTGGGGTTGGGTTTCAGGGTCATCGCATATGTGGGTATGTGGGTTGGGTTAAGAGGTTGCTCTTGGTTGGGGATTCTGTGTTAAAGTGGTGGTGTGGGTTTAGGAATTTCGGGGTATTTGTGAAGTTGAGAGCATGGGGGCGACGACCATAGGAATGATGGACGCGGCCTACTTTGTGGGTCGCAACGAGATTTTGAGCTGGGTCAATAACACGCTAGAGCTGTCGCTGAGCAAGGTGGAGGAGGCGGCTTCGGGGGCGGTTTACTGCCAGCTGATGGATGTGGTGCACCCGGGGATGGTATCCATGCACAAGGTTAGCTTCGACGCGAAGTCGGAGTATGAGATGATACAGAACTACAAGGTGCTGCAGGATGTCTTCAACAAGCTGAAGATCGGGCGGCATATCGAGGTGAGCAAGCTGGTGAAGGGGCGACCCCTGGACAACCTGGAGTTTCTACAGTGGATGAAGCGGTACTGCGATCAGATCAACGACAATCAGGTGAATTCCGCGTATAATGCGGCGGAGAGGAGGGAGGCGTGCAAGGGAGGGAAGGAGACTAACAGGCGGGCGCTGGGGATGGGCTATAGTAGCCAGAGCAGCAACAAGCCTGCATCCAGTGCGAGTGTGAAGGCGAGTTCTGGTGCAGCCCGGCGGGTGACCACTGAGAACATGAACCCGAACATGAATGGAAATGGAAGAGGTGGTGGTTCGGCTGGAACGAATGTGAATGCGGCGAAGCACATGAAGGATCTTGGCAAGGAGCAGGTATCGGATGGGATCTCACCTCTTTGTCTCGTGCGTGCGATCACTTGCAACAATGTGTAATAAGTGAGGGTGTGGTTTTAGGGGGGCTGGGTGAAGATGGGATTCTCAGGCGTGGAATGGTTGGGATGGGTGGCTGCTCCTCAGGTGTCTGCTGTAAATGAGGATTACGTGAAGCAGATCACAGAGCTGAAGCTGTCGGTGGAGAGTCTGGAGAAGGAGCGCGACTTTTACTTCACGAAGCTGCGCGACATCGAGATTCTATGTCAAGCTCCGGAGCTGAGCCACATACCGGTCGGTGTTCTGTGGCACGCGCTGTTATTGTTTCGTGGTTGCCCACAAGTACATTAGGGCTTGTTTGTGCGGTTATTAAATGTGACGGTCTCACTATTTTTGCGTTATTTCATCCGAGTTAGAGTGAAAGAGGTGGATGATCATACACTATTTGACGGTTGTTTTTGTGGGATTCGCACGGAGTGCAGGTTGTTAAGGCTGTGCAAAGAATTCTATATGCAGCAGAGGACGAGCCCTCGGTGATAGCTGAGGCGAAAGCCATGATGGAGGAGTCGGATCGGGACATGCTCTCACCAGGATCTCAAAACATGGACGATAATAATGATTTTTTAGGTTAGTGCTGGCGACTCTCTAGCATTCGCAGCCAAGGAATCAGCATACGAGTGCCCACTTTGAACACATGGATGCCGCCTCGCGTGCCAGAGTTTCTCAGGCGTGCATATCATTTCCTCCTGTTCGCAGCGGCCTGTCCAGACTTCTATCAGGCATATTGATCTCGAATTTTGCTCATTTACTATTTGAATTAGTGGTGTAGTGTAGTGTAGTGTGATGGCCATGGGTGACCTTTAGACACGAGCTGTTGGCCTGGATCTCCGTTCAGAGGCTGCCGCTCTACACAGTCGGCCAACAACAGGATAGACTCTGTAAAGAAATTGTACGGTAGAAGTAAGTGGCATTTTCAGTCTTAATGTCCTTGATGGTTAAAGTCCTTGAAGGTTCCATGTTAAGAGCTGGACATGAGAAGATCGTCAAAGTATGAACACTGGAAGGCTTGTTTCATCTTACTTGAGGGAGTCGTGTTAATTGCACATAAGATGAACTGTTGGTTGGAAATTTGCACTGTAGAATTGTCATGGACGCCATTGGATAGTCGGATGTCGGGTTAATGTTCGGAATTTTTTTCTGAATTTGTCGTGTGCCATGTGTGCGGCAGGAATTTCGTCAGATGAGGATGGTTGCTTAAGTTCTGCAGAGTCAGAGAGTCTGTCTCGTTTTAGCTGTATGGTCAGATTATGCAATGATGAGTTTGTCAGTGTTGTATTTTATTATTTTAGTTGTGGACGTTCATGTGAAACCTGGCAACACAGATGTCTCGAAGCCTGTGATGGCGGAAGGTTACGGGAAACTCTGCAATATTATTACAGGATCCCGCTTCTATTACCTGTACATGACCTGAGCGTGACGGGGACCTCAGTTCGCTTAGTTGGGGCTTTCTTTTGTGGGCCAATGCAGTTGCGGTCGTTTGTCTGTTCTACAAGTTGTTATTGACATGATGGTTTAAATGGTGCTTCCTAAAGCTCTTCTGACTTTTTTTTTAGCGAGGACATGTTATGCTTCTAGGGGTGTAAAGAACACGCAGTCTACATATTGTGCTTTTGCAGTTTCACCAACACGCTTGACTTGGCTTGATTGATAAGCCGCTGACTTGGCTGGATTTAGATATTGGGTCTACCCAGATGCTTTGATCCACAACTCGTTTCTTGTGTGTTGTGTGTGGGAAGGGCGAGGTAGCAGGGAACATTAAATCTGCTAGATCGGCACCAAGAACACAAGCATACGACATTCCAGAAACCAATACATGGGAGGGAAGGGGGGGATGAGGAGGATTGTTGCAGGAGAGTGGATTGTTGGAGGGGAAAGGGAAAGTGACTGCACAGCTCCTCAGGGAGGAGGATGGGCATGTGGTAAGGACTGACTCTCCGTGCGGGGAAGGAGAAGAAATGTGTGACACCAGGAAATGCCACAGCTCAAGTGCAGCAGAAGAGAAGAGGATATGTGAGTGAGAGCGAGAGTGAAATGCTGGGTATGAGTGAAGGTAGGCAGGCAGGCAGGCAGGCAGACAGACGAAGGAGGCATGAGGAGGAGGAGGAGGAGGGTGTGGAACACGACGTTGCAGTGAGTGAGTTCCATGGGACTTGAATCTAAACTTGGATTTTTCTCATGCAATCAAACAGTTTTCCGAAGCATGTGGCAGAAAGTGTCTCATTCTGAAGTTTACTGTATATAATCTGTGCTTGCCCCTAAAGTTATAACTTACTATTCTAGTTTTATTGTTGATTTTTGTAGATATGCAATTAGTGAAAATGCCTTTAGGCTGTAGTCATTATTTATTTTTTGTAAGGCAACAAAGGATAAGGTAATAATTGGGTTTAGCAAGTTGGAATATATGGTCACTAAGAACCAATCTCTACACTTGGCATTAGGAAGGATAATTCTTGAGATCTGTATTGATCCAAACAAAGATGGTAATGATGTTTAATAAATTTCAATTTGCTTGTTTGAATTGGTGTTTTTTTTTTTTTTATCATGAAATGATTGAAAACTTTTTAAGAGAAGATTCAATTTTTCAAAATGATATGTTTTGAAATTAAAAAGCCATTATAGATTGTCCTTTAGGTGTTATTGAATGCTAAATTTAGATTAATGACTTTTTGTGATGTAAACCATTTCATCTATTATATAATATTGACTTTCTACTACATAACTTATGAAAAGTAGACCTCTAAGGCCAACAAGAGGTATTGGAACCTTTGCCTTATGAACAACTCATATAGTTGTTAATTCATTAGACAGTATGTATATGTGGACTAAGCCTAGGAACTTGCTTTTGGAATTTAAATACACAAAAATCTAAAAGTTGATAGAACCATAACATAAAAATATAAATAATTTCAACTTCTTATATTATTTTATATATGTGCATATATATATAATATTATAAAATTAAGTTATTTTATTGATATTATAATCTCTTAGATGATACCAATTTTTATCTAAATACAATAGTTTGACTTAAATTAAAATTATAAAATTTATGAAATAGTTAATGAAATTATAATTCTTTAAAATTTAGATTAGTTTTAAAATTATTTGTAATGTTTTATAATAGATAAAATTATGATTTTTGTACAATAAATTTAAAATTTTAAAGTATTGGAATCATATTTAGATAATTTTAAAAATATAATATGTATAAAAAATTACAAAAAATCATTAAAAATATCAAACAAATGTTTATAATATTTAATAAAAATATAATAAGCAAATCTTCATACTTAAAAGAAAATGCAAGAAGTCACAAAATTTTAATTCTTTTATTGAATAAAATAAATAAAAAATTATTTATTTGATTTTGTATTCAAAAAAATCAACTCAAATGTCTAAAGATTAAAAAAATGAAATAGAATACAATTTTATTTCATATATGACATAAATAATATTGCTTTCTTAAATTTATAATGAGCCTATATCAAGAGAAAGTTTTCTAAGAATTGAAAAGTTATATCAACCCAATATAAATAATCACATAAAAAATAAAAAATCAAAATTTATATAATTTTATAAATTTTAAAATCAAGATATTAGCTAAGATATCTTAACTTATAGTAATATGATAGTTTAGTCTATTTTATGACATCTTGTTATAATATACTATCTCTAAAAATGAAGGCTTCAAAAATAATAATAATATATATATTTTTTTGTCAAGTATAAAACCTTGTCAAAGAAATGAATTACAAAAAAAACTTAGGATTCAATATAATCTTATGTTACTAGAAATGAGTAAATATTTATTCAAAGATAGTTATGAAATTGAAATTAGAATGGTTATTTGTCAAGAATATGAATCATGAAGAATCAAAGGGTCAAAGTTGATATAACATTAAGAATAAAATGACTATTGTCAAAGACAAGAAGATTAGAAATTCTTGACTCAATGTTCTTCCTTGAATAGATGGCGAGATACAACCTGTTTAGTATTACGACCTTGGAAGGGACTCCCGATGTTTGGTGATTTTACTAGAGGTAGGAACAACTCTTGACAGTATTCCAAATGTTTTCTTTGAAGGAAGTTATGAAAGCCTCAACAACAATCAAATAACTGGGTGGTCTTCCCGCCCTGATATGGAACACTATCGATGGTTGAGAGGCCCTATCAATCATTTTCAAAGAGAACAAAGATCAGAGTATGTCGCGAACACAATTTGTCGCATCATAGATTTCTTTAACATATGATGATTGCTCCTCATGGAACTCGTCTCTAGAAGGGAGGGTAATGTCACGGACATATGCATGTAAGCTAGTAATTACATGTATAAATAAGTAGAAGTAACTAAAAGTAGGTAAAAGTAAGTTAATTCTATAATATTTGCCATAGAAACTTCTTAGAAGCTTCAAAGATACTGCTTTGACTTTATAGGTGTCTTTAATTGACTTTTTGAATTAGAAACATAATCAACAAGTTGGCTATGTGCCACACATGTTGTTAGCTTGAAGACCAAGCTAACTATGTGGCCTACACGTAGAAAAACTTGCCTTGTAAGTCAAAGCATGTGTCCTACAAAGTCAACACATATTGGAGGTCCTATAAAACATCGCCACGTAGCTCTTAGTTAGATAGTATATATTCCTTTTTTGCTTCTAGTTTAGTTTCAAGGATCTCTAGTTTTCTTGTCTTTTGACAATAACCATTCAGTTTCTTTCTTAATATACATATTGAATTATTTCTATTTTGTCATCTTTCTTTGAAAGAAGTCTCACTTGTTTATTTGTCTTTATCAAGTTCTTGTCCTTGACAATATATAATAAACAAGTATTAAAACAACTATTGTCAATTACAAAGAATTAGGGATTTTTTTAACTTAGCTTGGAATACAAGATAGATATAGATAAGACTAAGAATAACCTCACTTTTACTTCCATATATCTTTACTAAGAAGAAGACTATGTGTCATGGACATACATATATACTCTAATATTTATCTATATGATTAAATAGAAGTAAATAAAAGTATATTTATTTTATAATATTTTCTAGATAAGCTTCTTAGAAGCTTCATAGAGGTTGCTTTGACTTTATATGTGTTTGTAATTGATTGATAAGCTAGAAACTTGGTCAACAAGTTAACCATGTTTTGGTAGTTTGCAGAATAAACTAATTATGTGGCATACATGTAGAAAATATGCCTTGCAAGTTAAGATATGTGTCTTGCAAAGTCAACATGTTTTGGAGGTCCTATAGGATATGGCCATGTAACTCCTAGTTAAGAATAAATATAGAGGTTAGAATGAAGCCTTCTTCACTCTTGCCAATGCCTTTTTAGTCTTTAGTCTTGTTTCAAGTCTTTCTAGTCTTCTTGTCTTTGCAGTAGTCATTCCAGTTTAATACTATATTATCTTTGAATGACTTTCTAGTTCTTTTGAGCGATACATGAGTATATTGAGGATTTCTTTCTTCAAGATTCATGTCCTTGACACCATGCAAGAACCATGAAGCATGCAAATCAAGTGTCCAAGTTGTAGGATGCTTCTATAGTAAAATCTTAATTGTAAGAAACTTCTTAGAGGAGTTTTGATAGCCACTAGTTTTTTGCATTATTCATTTGTTACTTTTTGTAATAAACAAGACTACTACAAATACTAACATTGGAAAATTTTAGATAACAATCTTCAAATAAACCATGAAAGTGTGTAGTAAAAGTGAAAGTAATAAACTTTTTCACATGTTCATGTTTAGCTTCCCAACTTAGCATGATTCAACACCTTGGTTCTAGAAGATACAAACATGGAATCCAAATCTTTGAAAACCTCAGCAAAGCACAAATTCAACCCTAGACGTGGATCTTGGATCAAAACGAAGGGTCCTCTTGGAAATGCCAATCGACAGCAGTAACTTTTTAACACACTGTTCACTTTTTTGTTTTTTTCGTTTTATATTGGTTTTCTGAAGCGGCAATTTGACTCGGCTATGGCTGATGCGAGCTCTGCGGCAACAGCAAAACTCAAATCTAGCTTCGTGCATACACCGTCTCCGCCATCACGTCCTACTTCGTTGAAATCAAACAGAAACGGCGCCGCCGCGGAGGAGGATTGTGCTGTGTGGAGGGAGGGCAGGAGGATTGAGGTACGCCGATGACAGGCAGAGTCTGTAAGTGTTTGTTTCCTCCGCTAGATTTTTCAAGGGTCTTTGCGCGCGTTTTGGTACCTCACCGAGTTTAATAGCCAGGACGCGGAATACGAGGGCTTAGGTTTTAGGGGAGGAGGCTGGTGGCTTGTTGCGATCGTTGGTTGAAAGGGACGGGAGGCTTGGGAGAGTCTATCTATCAATGCTCCGCTGTCGTTGGTTTTGGTCTAGTGAGTGAGTGACAGAAGCGGAGCTTGTGCACGCCGTATGGCGTCTTGAGTTGCTGCGGTGAGCCGGCGATGTGTGGGAGAGAGGTTGAATTAGAAGATCTAAAGCCGAAAGCCCTTTCATCTTCCGGTGTTTCTCTTAGTGGAGGGTGGGAGCGGTATTGATTCGTCACGTCTAGGCTACGAAGCATCACCGACGCTCTGTGTGTTCTGATTATCACAGAGTAGTTGTGCTTTTTGTTCAGAGTGTATTCTTAGGTTTGGCTCTTCTGGTAGTGGTGATTGTCTTGAGTGTATCGCAGCTCGTGCGGCGAATTCAAGGTTGCTGGCGAGGTCGTCTTTGAGTTTAGATGATGTCTTGTTCTGGTTAGGCCCTAACATTGTATTTATCTTTTATTTAGTTCTCCGGTTCAGCACGGTGAGTAGGCTGCCGTTGATGCACCTCAGGCAGGTAAGAGAGCGTGTTATGATATCATGAAGCTGTGCCACTCTGATTATTGTGGAAGGCCTCGTCACTGTACCGACGTCTGTATTTTACTGAACAGTATCCTCGCGGTATTGGTCCCCATCAATTTTTTTGCATAATTTAGGGGATTCTTGAGTGGATAATACGAAATTTGCATGGCTGTCCTGGCAAGGCCACGGAGGTCTGTCTCCTACATTTCCGCCTTTAGCTACTCATCGGTTCAGAACATGAGCTGCTGCGATGTAATGAATGATAATAACCATTAGTCAACCGTGTCGATCCTTTGATCCCACCTCGTGCAGATAGTGAGCTGCTGTGGCAGCTTGGAAGCACATGTTTGTTTAGTGTGTTGAGTACTGTAATTATGGATACGTATGGTAAAAGTCAAGTTCGACCAGTTTTATTCTAAACATTCAATATTCCGCCTCGAATTTGGACAGCTTAGCTTGTTGTTGCAAAGTGAATTGATAGCTCACTGTTTTTATGGCTTAAGCTGCTGTCGGCTGGTCTTTGTTACAGGCAAGGAAATTTTAGATCATATTCAAGTCTGGGTTGCACTTCTCCATTAGCTTTAAGCCATGGTTTGATTGGTAGTGTGTGTGGATCTGAATTAAATAACGTGAGGAATGTGCAGGCTTCAACAACTGTGCTAACGCCACTCTTTGGGATATCTCTGGAATCAAGGACGAGTTTGGTTGAGACCGGGTGTACTCCGACAATTGTAGCTTCCAAGGAATTGGATTCAATCTATGCACATCTTGGAGCGACCATAGCCTCCGGGAACTAAGGTTACCGGAATAAACCACCATGGACAGGGATAAATCAACCGTCGCTGTGCGGGATTATCCTCCTGGATGCTGCCGTTTACCTTCACAAGGACAGTTGACAGCTACCCGTAGGAACAGGACAGATTACTCTAGGGCCCAGGGTCGAGAAAATGGAGCAAAAATGCAGTTGAATAGACCTATAATCGACGTGCCGATGAATTTTGAGGCCTCCTTGAATGACGAAGCTCAACCCAATGATCTAGATTCTGAGCTATACCGACAGAGACGAAAAAGGTATGCTGATCTCTTGCATTTCTACCAACAATTGCAGGAGAAGGGAGAGTCAAATGAGAGAATTAGACCAGATCTTGAAGCTACCAAAAAAATGCAGGAGGAGAAAATGAACTTTGACTGGAAAGGAGTTGGGCATGTTCCAGGTAGTATTGTGGGCGATTTCTTCTTCTATAGAACTGAGCTATTTGTCCTGGGCTTACACCGAGCCATGCAAGCAGGCATTGCTTACACTGAGGTGGGGCAGGAAAAGATTGGGTGCAGCATAGTAGCCTCTGGCGGCTACGAAGACGATGAAGATCATGGTGAGACAATGATTTACACTGGACACGGTGGAAACAATAAAGCCGACAGACGGCAAGTGAAGGACCAGAAACCAGAGGGAGGAAACCTTGCCCTCCTGAATAGTTTGAAGTATAAGCAGCCTGTGCGCGTGATACGTGGCCACTCTGACATTCCAACCAGCCAAAGCCCTTCTAAGAAGATATATTCTTATGATGGATTGTATCAGGTCGTAGATCAATCCTTAGAACTGGGAGCATCCGGCTTCAAGGTGTTCAAGTTCAAACTTGAACGGCTCCCCAACCAGAGAGAGCTAGGGTCTAGGTTGGTTTCCTTCGTGGGCAAGTTGAACAAGGCACCGTCGATACGCACTGGCGTGGTGATAGAAGACCTGTCAGGAGGGCAGGAACCAATCCCCGTTTCTGTTGTCAATACCGTGGATGATACTAGACCCCCTTCTTCTTTCGAATATACCACGAAGCTGCGTTATCCCAAAGGCGTGTCGTTGCGTTCCTCTACAGGTTGCTCTTGCAAGGGTGATTCATGTCACAGCGTAGGTCATCGGTGCTCCTGTGTGCTTAAGAATTCCGGCAAAATGTTGCCCTACAATCAATATGGACATTTGATTCGGGCTGTGCCAGCTGTGTACGAGTGCGGTAGTCGGTGCAAATGCTCTCTAGAGTGCCATAACAGGGTCTGTCAGAAAGGACTGCGGTACCGCCTCGAGATTTTCAAAACTGAGAAAAAAGGCTGGGCGGTAAGGTCATGGGACTTCATTCCGTCCGGTGGGTTTGTTTGCGAATATACTGGCGTGATCATGGACACAAAGACTGCAGATGAGCTTGATGATGATGACTACCTCTTCAACCTGGATTTTAAGCAAGGTAATGAGGCACGCTGGGGAGTTCAACGATCGGACGTCTTTGACAGTGACGACTCTGACATGCCTCCACTTAAGCTGAGTTCTCCGAAGTATGTTATCGATGCCAGCAAATTTGGTGGCGTTGCACGGTTTGTCAACCACAGTTGTACGCCAAACCTTTTCGTGCAATGTGTGCTTTATGATCACGGTGACCTTGATCTCCCTCACGTGATGCTCTTTGCAGGTAGTGACATTAGTCCCTTTCAGGAATTGACGTATGACTATGGCTATGCCCTTAACTCTGTCTATGATTCACATGGGAATCTGAAGAAGAAGGATTGTCACTGTGGTACCCGGAGTTGCAGAAAAAGGCTGTATTAGGTTTGTTCATTGTCATTCCTGGAAAAAACAGTAACCTTGTGGAAGCGCCTGCCAGGAGAAATCATTTGTCAAATTTTCCCATATGATTCACCACCCAATCCCCATGATTCAGCCATTCTTTGTGTAAACTTGTTATTATGTTTTCATCTCATATTGATGGGATCGGCGTTTATTATCTGTTGAAGTTTATTTAAACCGTCATTGTTTTGAAATTGGGAATCAGCTTCTCATCTATACAAGGTATTTCAGATGAGTTGACAAGGCCTGGTAAAGAATATTATCATGCTGCTAGCTTCTCCTTGTTTGAAACTACTGGGTACAAGTAGATACTGAATATTGCGCCCCATGTTTGGTTGGCTGGTGAGGCGTTCATTCTAGCACTCATGTATTTCCAAAGAGGTTTCCGTTGACAAGCTTACTGGAGTGGTTAGTCCATGCACACAAGCTTTGGCTTTAGAGGATTATCTTGAGTGATTAGACTAGCGGTTCCGTGACAGTTCGCACGCTATCCGCATCTGGCAGATCAGCATAGACATACCTATTCCTCAAAAGATATCATCCGAATATACTTCATGCCTTCCTACTATACCATACCCTACTAAGCACAATATGTTTCTCACGTCACAAAGCTACGCTAGGCAGTGAGACACAACTACATTTCTGTAAAAGGGCTATAATTCGAGTAACCATAAGTCCACATTCAGCGATTGTGCGAATGTCAAATGATTCAACGCCCGAAAGTCCTCGACAAGAAGCAACAAATGTCTAAATAGAGCAAGATAGGGATGCGTCCATGATACAAATGGTCACACAACATAAAGCTACTGAAGACAAAAACCCTCTTATTAATTTCGATTTATGAATTGAATCATCAATTAACCAAATTATAATAAATAAATTTTACCAGATGTGTAGACAAATCAGGTTGACAGTTGTTTCCCCTATAAAACTAAAAACTACATCGACACTACGTTGGGCGATAGGAAAATATGATACAATACGCAGTAGATGACCTCCTACTTCATTAGACCTTGCTATTTGAAGGCTAGCTCCCCCATGCCCTGTCACAAGTGCCAGTATTAGAAAAGAACACACAACTCAAGGAAAATCGATTGACCAAGTCTTTTACAAAGACTAGCAACTACTAACAATTATACTTTACACATAGTCTCCCAGTCCCAGGCAATATACTTCTTACATTCATGCACCTTCAGAAAATACTAGGTTACAAATGTATAACCAGAAAAACCTCAAGTACAGATTAAAAATACCTTAAACTGCATCATCATCCTAATCAGCACCACCCCATTGTAAGGCCCGAACTGTAATAAGTGATAATTTCACCATATCAGCAGGCACTTGAAAGTTCTGCAAATAACCAGTAATGTAGCATTCGAAAGGATCACTACTAACAGTTAAACCCCATCCCCTTCAAAACTGTAGTTACAACACTTCAAATCAGCCAAGAAGATCAGCAGGCAGGAGAAACAGACGTAAAAATATCCTGCCAGCTTGAAATCAATCAGGATCCAGCTGTGTAGGTGTAAAAAGCTTGGACACCTTGTATCAGCTCCACTGCTTTACCTGAAAAGAGCCAAATTAAATCGTTTAGGGTACAATTACTTTTATGTATAACTGTAAGGAAGCCAGAGCATCTACCGCGTTATCATCAACAAAATCAATGATGCCTGATATCGAATTAATTTTTTTTTTCAAATTCAAATTCAAATCTTTATTCAAATTTGACAATCTTCTCAACGGTCTCAAATTGGCAGCCTTACCAGCAAGAGAACCAAAAAGAGGCACAGGCTTTAGAGTTTTTTCTACACGTTCCAAACGCCGACTGCAAAGCCAAACAGTTGCACCACACGTTACGCAAGAGAGGGAGGGGAGGTGTTTCTTGCTTAAATTGTTTTTGCGATGTGCAACCAGAAAGACTCTGTACGCATTGAATTGACATGCGAAATCAAGGTTCCAATATTACACATTATATAGAGTAAAATCAAGCTTCCTGTGTATGACTTACTGTGTGTATAGATCGAAGAAAGGGCTCCGCATAAGATAGAGAGCCCACAACACTTGCCTCCTCGTGATCTGCCACATTCGGTGCAAAGGAAGAAATTCAATCCTGTGATATCCCAGTACATTATAACAAAATGTTTTGACCAGTTGTAAGATATTCGACGACTGCAAATAAGACAAATAATGAAGCATCCAAGGCGATCAAAGCAATCAAAATTGAACTTTCCAAAACAAGGACTATATGTGCCTAACATATAATGCAGCACATAGATGTACATAAAATCAACACACAATAATCTGCCTCACCCAAGATATCAGCAAAAACAACCTCGAATTCCTACTTACCTCATTTTTCTCTTGTTTGGAGGGAACACATCTGGGTATTGATTTGTTGCCAAATACGTAGTCAGGAAACAGAGTAGAACCGTACAAAATTGCCATACCAGTTGCATCTATAGCCAATGCTGATAACCACGGCCTCCATGACCGCAATCCATGGCGTCGGATCATCATAACATACAGGAAAGGCCTCAAAATCAAAAGAACCTCTCCAAGAATCTTAAATTTTCTTATTGGTGCTGACGATTTGGGCTCAACTGCAATACAAAAAGACAATATAAATTGAAGTTCTACTTTCAAATGTCCAGCACATTTATCAAAGTAAAAACTATTAACCTTCCTACAGTTGCACCTAACAAATAAGGAATAACAATGTGAGACTTACAATGTTGTGTTGGCGGTGGTGGTGGTGGAGTTGCAACAGGTTTAGCTACAAGCCAAGAAGGCCTAGTGCCAACATTGTTTCGATACTTATTCATAGCTTGTATAGCTCTGGGTTGATTGCTAGAACTAGGCGTGGCTCCCCGAATTTGAGATTTGCCTAGTACGTCACAGTGCGAGGACTCAGGCTTCTCTTCACGGTTCAGAGTTTCGCCTCCATCAATCAGCATTTTGTAACCACTCTTATGCAGCACCAGCAGGCGCATGAAAGCCCTTCATCAAGAATTTCAAAACACATCAACTTAAAACAGCTCAAAATAGATATTGCGTTCCATCAAAACTAAACAAAGGGCAGGTAAAAGATGACTTAAACATAATGCCAGTATCCAAAAGCTAAAGTTGGAATCATATATCATCACAAGAAGGTGAACAAAAAAGCATAGTGTTCTAAATAAAATCCGGGCGAGCTTACTTGAGAGCCTCGACCACAGCTACCGGAGTCCATTTCTGGTCTCTGCCGAGGAAGTGTTCTGAACTCATTTCAACAAGAACCTCTACCTCTTTCACAACTGACAACAGAAGTGGCCACGGGAAAGTCGGATCCTCAGGTGGTCGTACTTGAAACTCCGTAGAGGAGATTTCCGGAGCCGTAGCAACAATATGTTCATTCATGACCGTCACCAGGCCCACCATCGTAGACACTGTATCAACCGCAATCATTCCATTCGGATTAATGGAGTGAGTAACCAACAGAGGTGATTGAATCTTTCACATGGATGTTCATTCAAAAATCATCACTGAAACAAAAGCATCACAAGAACAACCAGACATAGAGGGATCCCATACTGTGTGCTCCCCGAAAAAAATGTCCGTCCAACCATGAACAAGCTAATCAATTCAGAGGCATAACATACAAGCTTCTGGAGCGAGTTCCGAAGAAGTTAAACGCTCCGGCAAGAACCATGTCATTGTCTGCATATCAAGATCCCAGCAACACAAATGAGAGTCCGCCACGATCAGGAGAACCAAATAGCATGGGCGACAGAAACCAGTTTTACAAATCAGTCACAAATTTGAACCCGCGGCAACTGGTTAGCTTAACGATACCAACGTACAGTACAATTCAATATTCGTGTGCAATGATCAGTAATGTCGAACATCTGAGTAATCCATCAATCGCGGACACTGGTTGATTATGAAACCGACGTTTCCAAGAGTTTCGCAACGCCCAGAACGTCACAAATTCATACACGCTAAGATTTGTGCAACATCGGACTGCTATACAAGTCGTTAAGCATGATAAAAGTGACGAAACGGAGAGGTTGTTACGTTTGCAAGGCTTTCGATAGAGGAAAGCCATAAGCGGTTGCGCCGGACCCATTCTTTATATGCCTCCATCGAAACCGTCCGTTCACAATCAGAACCACTCTCCTTGTTTGCAATCCCCAACTCCAGCTGCAGAAATCGAAGCTACCTACCCCACTAAACCATCCTTTTCTCACCCCTTCAAAAAAACCTCTCAAATAGACCTACCTACCCCAATTCCTACTCCACTCTTTGCAACTGTCCCTCATCTCATCAACAACCTACCTACACCTCAACGACAACCTCAAACGCTCAAGCATGTAAATTGGAAGAGACAATATTTGGGACTAGGTCAGAAAACTACACAACGACCTAGGGTTTAAGCCGACCCCCAAAAAAACCAAAAATCAAAAATCACAGAAAATTTAAAGTCTACACAATCATCAGAAAAGGAAATCCGCTCCAATCACTAGAATCAACCGAGCCTCAACAAGACAGAATCATGCCACTGTCACAGCCACCGCTACTACCACGCCACCAAATCGACCATGCAGCAGATCGCACACGCGAACCCAGTCGCGTACGCGACCCGACGAGGTGGGTGAAGAAGCAGCGGCGAGGCGAGAAGGTGGCGAGTGAGGTGAGCAGGGGGGACGGGATGGCAGGTGAACAACGCAGCAGCGAGAGTTGAAACGAGACGGGGTGACTGCACATGAAATTCGGCAGAGTGGCAAGAATGACCCCCCCACTCCCCGAGCTCCTCCTCCTCCTCCGCCGAACGGTGCGGGGAGTGGTCCAGGAGAAGAAGAGGGCGGGCGAGGGCGAAGACGGGGGGATCTTCGTCACCAGGAACCCCCTCTTCTCCCTCCTCGGCCCTCTCCTCCCGCATCCCGCCCCCGCGCTCCATTCTGGCGGGGTTGTGGATACTTCATCCCATGTTTTCATCGACTACATCCGTCCGTCGAGTACACCCATTCACTTTATTCATCTCCTTGCTTCTTCTGTTCATGTACGTCGTACATTCATCTATCCATATATTTCATCCGTGTATTTCATACCATTCTTTTACTTTTTGATTTTGTACATATTCCCTTCGCGCATTCGTTCGGTTCATCCACGTTATTCATCCACTGGGTGGATTCCTTGGTTTTATTCACATAGATTCATGGTGCCTTTAGTTATTGCACATTTGCTCAGTTAAATAGGTGAGGTACTAATGTTGTCCTTGGAATTTGTATAATCGTATTGTCATGTGGAAATAAGTCGGACTGTGCTCCTGGTATGCAGGATTTAAATTGATGCAAATGAGTGTGTTAAATTAATCGGAATACAAGTATGCACCGAGAATATGTTAATTCCAAGTATCTTCGTATTTTCGTACTGGAAAACTACTTTTGCCTGCTTCCTTATTAGACATAAATAATAATGAAATAAAATAGCTAACAAATAATGTATCAGTTTTTGATAGGAGTGTATTTTATTTCAAATTTGAGAACATTTGAGAATTTGCTTTTAATGAAGTGTTTGGCTTTTTGGTTTTATTTCATAATATTTGGCATTAAAATGCATGTATTTGAATATACATATGTATATTTTATAATGTAAACAAAAAATTAGGAATAAGAACATGAATACTGTTTGTATTTTGAATATGTTCTTAAGTAACAATTTTTTTTAAAGTATATTATTGTTTCGGTTTTAGACAAACTACTTATACTTATAACAATGTTAAAGGAAGAGAATTACAAAGCACATTTTTTATTATAACTAATTACTTGTTAGATAAAAATTATATATATATATATATATATATATAAAACTTCTTGATTGCAAGTTTAGTCTCAAGCAGTAGAATAAATTATACAAGTTGACATGTTCATGTTTGTAACTACCATCAAGACCATTAAATAAATTATACATCCATACATACCTGATATGATTTTGTGGCACAAGAAGAAAATATTTAACGTATACAGGGTATAATGATTCTTGGCATACATCAACAATAGAAGATACTTACCAAGCATCTATTACCAATTCGGCCGACAAAGTCGGTGACTCTTTTATCGAGGAGTCGGTGATGGTTAGATGCGAGTTGCTCAGGGCCGCTCCCGGACCAACTAGTTTCACCTCTTTTCAAGCGATTGAAGCCGTGAATGTCTTGTTGCGTGGGTGCTCACAACCCTGTGCTGCTGGTTGGACTAATCTGCAGGCCGTGAAGTAATGTGAAAATATGGGTTACCGGCCGAGTGCGAGTGTATTGATGTCGTTGGAAGAGGTTGTCGTAAAAGAGTTCTCATGTGTGGAGCTTTTTGGTGGTCGTCTGCATGCTGATGAGCTTGAGCAAGCTGGTAACCATGTGGGTGCAAGTTTCGCAACGGTCGATCAGTGGCTCTTGGTCGGAGTGATTTCACTTCATCGACTGAGCCAAATATTCATGGGTTTATTGCTCTTCTTAGCCTGTCTAGCAGATTCCCCCAGACTGCTTCTGAAGGCATATTCCTGTTCTAGTTACAGAAGCATTGAAGAAATGCCATATTGAAGTAGCAGCTTTGACTGGAGCGCCATGGAGGATTGATGGGTTGAATGTACCGAAGAGAGTATACCTCGGAAAGTTGCGGTTGTTTTAATGCATCGCCACATCATCCTAGTATCTCGGCGAAACTGAATCTTTGCCTGAAGGTGACCGCCATATTTGAAGCTCAGGCCGCCTTGGGTGGAGTATCTGAAGACTTACATGACTGATCGTCGTGTATCGATGTCTCAGCCGACTGTTGCTGGAATAAACAGTCGTTAGCGTGCACAAGACCAATAGCCACGCCTGCAGCAAATATGGTGAAGTTGGAATATCTTCGCATCCGTGCTGGTGAAGAAAAGGACATCGACCCCTAGAATCTAAAGGAAATTACGCAGGGTAAGTTTTGATACAGGCGAAGAAAAGAACTACGGACGTTGACCAACTGAGCAATTGCCCCATCGCGGAGAATCTACCCAGAATTTCTACAAAATTTAGCGGCGGATCTAAGCATGTGCTGGAAATCTCATCCTTGTCGCCGATGGCGGTCTCGAATAACTTCGGTTTGCCATCAATGGACCCAGGACATTACCCTCTGTTGAAAGAGCTGGGTTTTCACAACTGAAGCTTCCCAATGAGGTAGACTTGCAGAAGTCCCATGATAGCTCAAAAAAACACATCTGCGTTACTTACTATCTTAACCTGGGAAATTTCCAGATTTGGATACAATGTGCACGTTCTTGGCACTACACACCGTCCCGTAGAATTTCAGATTCTCTGCGCAAATCTTCTGTGTTACACTCAAGGCTTGCATTCTGACCATTATCTAAACAAGCGAAAGTTCACAGACATTGCAACCTTGCGAATTGCACGCATGAAGGATTGCTTGTTTCCCCTCGATAGCAGCTGATGTATAACAACCAAAGATGCACTGCCTCTTCACCATTAGCCCGATATTAGCGAACCAATATATGTTCATATATATATATATATACACATACATACAAGGACGCATGATTCCGTTGAGGACGAAAACTTCAGAACCAAGTCCAAGCGGAGAGGTTTCCTTTATTCTTTCGACCTGCTCTCAATCCATTTTCCAAGAGGCGCAACAATTTGAATATCTCAATCAAGACAGAGAATCCTGAGAGAACAGAAAACGTCAGTCTCGCACAATCCAATGAAACTTGGTTCAAGCTAAAAATCTGATTCAGCCCAAAGAGCACCCAGTGGCACAATGGATGAAAACAGCGTAACCTAGAGAAGATAAGGCGCAGGTAAATTAATAATTGAGTACGCACTCCAGGTCTGCATTTTTACCATTACATGAGGGTATAAAATACTAGGAACTACTGCGAGATCTTGAGTGTGATGTATGGTCTACATTCGGAGCCCACGAGAGGTAGGAGCCTTCCGCTTAGTTCCTCCCACTGACATTTTCCCTGGCAACAGATACGCTTTATGATGTCAGGAAGTACACATGAAAACAGTCTTCAGATATGAAAAACAATAATCACCTCTTTACAAAAAAGGGTATCAATCTATCTGTCAATCTATCTGTCAATCTATACACATATATACATGTAGCTGTAAATCAGATACCATTGTCACAATTCTAACAATCATCACAAGATACAATTACCACATCATGGAAACCATCACTTGATCAGACAAAAGTCAATAGTTAAGATATCTTTTAATTCAATTTCTTTGACAAGATAAGTAGCTGCGCACCTACACACAAGAATTTGGAAAAGACATGTTTGGGCACACTAATTCGTAAGGTCAAATGAACTTCGCCTTACACCCTAATTTATAGTATACAATAATTCGCTGCGTACCAGTTTGCGATGGCAGCATTGAAGGAAAGACTTTCTCTGTCATGGGAGTGTAATTTCGAGTGATCATAGTGTCCCTCCAGTTCTGCGGATGGCCATGACCAATTAAGTTAAGACTCACGAATTCAGGCAAGTGTTTAGTGTACATACAGAAGCCGGGCTAACAAAGATCACTGAATGAACGGATGATCTGGCTCAGTTCAAGATTTTGGGGGCAACTTTGATTTCGAGGTTTAACGAAAGCATCAAACTAGACTAATCGACAACATATGGTCACCAGTTCACATACCATAAGATGACAAGGTTCAAGACGGTTCTGCAGGCTCAATATTTCTTAGTATGACAATCGCTACTTGACCGATACGATAACGTTACCACTGAAACTTACCATGCCGGGTGTTCGCAAGGAAGGAGTATCCCAGGCAGATGGGCCTTTCATGGCTGACTGCATTCGATAGGAAGCCAGGAACTCATCCCAACTCAGTTGTTCAATGTCCTTCTGCACAATGTGTAGGTACATATGTAACGGGAATACCTTTGATTGGTGTTTATCTATAAAGACTTTCTGAACCCAATTGAGTACTAACAACGAAAAGAACTGCCAAGTAAACACATGCGAGGAAAGGATCTATACCTGACCAGCTATTTCATTGCTGACACCTTCTCCAACTTGCTCTCTCACTGCAAACAGAAGAGGCACCCTTAGAAGCTGTATCAACCTAAAATTTTAGAAACCGAGAGTAAGGTTACCTTATGAACGTACGAAACACAGAGGGCCACAAATTTTGTTCACGTTCCATCCATGTTTACTCAAATATACACTGGGACACCTCGTATTTCTAAAAAGTATTGTATCGAAAAAATAGACAAAGTACTCATACGTGAAACAGTAAGGGTAACTTGATGTAGTACATGTTTTAGATGGACCAAAGCCCGGAGTATTTTGAACAGATGCAAAACCGGTGTTGAAGTTAAGACTATTGAAGTTTAGACTGTTGAAGTTGAGAACGCCTCCGCCGGGAGCTTGAAACCTGCCGATTAGGAAGGGTTCTGACTCCAGCACAGGATCAAAGTACACAGTTCCATCTGATCGAGTGTTGGCTATTGTGTTTGGACAGTGCTGCTTTAAGAACTTCTTCAAAGGCATTTTGCGTATGTGCTCGGGAAACTTGGACATCATCAACTGAAGTTGAGTAGTGGCGCTAGCCATGTGCCCATCCCCGATGGCTACGATTGCCGCCGATCTTGACTCCACTGTGTCACCAGTTGAATGTTCAGAGTTAGATCATTTGTCCAAAATGAGAAATGGAATGCCACTGCACTATCGTGTGCCCCTCCCTCGTACACGTAGACTCAACCTTAATATGATCATACAGACACACAGTCAACCATGATTCAAATGTGTGTTAACTGCAGCTAAAAACAGACAATAGTTTAGATCCATGAGGCCGGTGGCACATTGCATCTTCCCAAATGAGAACCGCACAGCTTCAATAACAGGATTGGCTACGTGAGATGTATCCCACGATTTCGCCACTTGTGTGAATGTTGCAGTGATAAAGACGCAACCCTCAAAAGCGCATCCCTTGAATTTCAAGGGTCACGAATCTTGTGAAGCTACACACTGCCCATTGATTGCAAGAGTAACCAGGGCATACGGACCTTGTTATCCAGCCTGCGGCTAGCCTAAAATTCCGGAAGTACATCGCACGACGAAAAGTCATCGCGAGGTATCGATGCCTCAGAACAGGAAAGCATCATCAGCCGCTGTAAACACCTAGATATATTGCTCGTTGAAGGAGAATAGGCAATTAGATATACTTCGAAGCCCTTTACACTTCTGCTTCCTTACACCACACGGTTCCTCCAAACATTGGCCGCTACAATCTCATTAGCACAACGTTACCATGAACTTACACCAGCTTCACCTATGCAACTTTGAAGCCTCCTCGAACTCAAACACATGGATAAAGGCTAACACCCCTCACTATTTCCTACAGAAAACCAATCAATGCGGTATCTGAAAATTTGATTTGATTCCAAGAAAAAAAGAGAGGGGCAAATCGTTTCTAATTTACGATGGTCCCTTTCATTCTGGAGCTCAATTACTGTCGAAATGAGAACAACAACTCCATACAGCAAAAATTCTACATACCTCCACGTCCTTACATAATGAAAACGATACAATGTCTACTCCAATGAGGGAAGAAGGGGGGGGTGGGAGAGAAAAAACTAAAGATAGTTTACCTTCCTGGTCAACTGCGTTACAGACAAGGTTCACAATCCGCAGCTGCTCTTCGAAATCGCTTACTTCTTCGTCAACATTCTCGACTGGCTTAACCTCAGTGGGAGCCGGCAAATTAGTATCCTTGTTTAACAATGCCCTGCGCACCACTGCGGCTTTCTTCGGCCGCCCCATAGCCCCCCTTCTTATATACCCCGTTCTCCTTGCCTCGCGCCGTGTCTTCTCCCTAAAACACTTCAGAAAAATTCCGCGCGACCCTAATCCCAATCGCAGCTATCCTCGCCCATCCTTAAGCACTCACTAATCCCCTCCAAGCAACTTCATCATGAACACAAAGTGTACCGGAATCACCGAACCAAAGCTCCACTTCCAAATTCCTTCATACCCTCTCAACAACGGTTGGATTCGCGCAAAATAAGCGGTGTCGGAGAGAAACGGAGCTCCATGGATTCACGAGACACGGTAGAAACGCAGAGATTCGACAGGAAGAGAAAGTGAGGAGGGGCGAAACGAGACGACGCAAGGGTGAGGGAATGATGGATTTGAAAGAGGTAGGAGATGACCGGACCGTCCGGGCAAGGATTTGAAATCAGGCAGTTCAACGTTCTCTATTTTCAAGTCCTGCGAGTCAAAGCTGAAGGCGCCATATCGGTTAAATATTTTTAAAATGAACAACGACGCGGCCAGCACAGCATGTTGGCAGAGCTGGCTTGCTGACCTGGCTCGAACGTTACCGCAAGAGAGAAAAGTTACCCTTGCACTGGGTTATATGTTGTCCGGCAGGGTGAATTTCATAACATCCTTATACCGAACCGGTATTACTTTCTGTCATTAAGTACAACTCCATTCTCCAAGAAATAACCTAGTGAAAATTTTCCATTATCGAATTTCAGAATTTTCTTGTTAAATTTTCTGACACTGTAAATAAATCATTAAAAAAAAACGTGACCATAGTTTTAAATATATATATATATATATATATAATTCAAAAATATAGTGGATGCTAGAAGAAGCTTAATATTATGTTATGTAGATTTATATTTTTAATGAAAAAAACCATCACAAAAAATTATATATATATATATATATATATATATATATATAATCAATTCATAAGTTTGGATTGTTGCAATGTCAAGAAACAATATTACAGCTTGAAATGAAGAAAAAAGGAGTATCAAATTGAAGATGTATATTTTATATTTAATTATTTTAATTAATTTTATATTATAAGAAAATAAATAAATAAATAAAAACTAAAACTAAAAAAATAAAAAATCGCAATGAATCTATATTTTTTTATAGAAAAAAAAGAATATCAAATTGAAGTTGTTTTATTTTATATTTAATTATTTCAGTTTATTTTAAATTATAAAAAAGGAAAGAAAAAACTAAAATTAAAATGAAATCACAATGAATCTACATTTGTTCAATGATCTGTAATATAGTGACAAATGAGTAATTATTATTTATATAATGTTCTATCTATAAACTTCTAATATAATTTTTATTTTTATTTATTTTTAATGTGAAAAAAAATAAAATTTATTGAGTAATATTCCAAAACAATTCTTTTATATCTATAGTTAAGAGCCATGAAAAATCAAAATTTACATAAAAGAAGAAATATGAAATAAAAACTTAATTTAATTTACAATTCTTTTATTTTGTTTTATATCTGTGAAATTGTTTTGATAATGTAATTTGCTATTCCATTCCATATATTAAGAGTGCTTCTTACATACAATATATATATATATATATATATATATATATATATATATATTGCACAATATGATAAGATGAAAATTCAACTTCCCACTATTGAAGCTACCACATATCTAATATACATGCCTATTTTTTTATAGAAAAATCTTAATATTTTTTTAATCTTATATATATATATATATATATATAAAAACATATATTAAGCTTTAAATCTAAAACAAATAAACAAAAAAAGAAATTTAGTAAAGCAACCACTTATTAAGATTAATGTTATAGAAGATTAAATTTAGAATGATTGAGAATGACATCCATAAAAAATTGTGCAACTTAAAAACTAATACACATAGATTGACTAGCTTTACATGTCTAATAAATAGCCATATTGATTAATATATTTACTTAGGTAAGTAGAACTTAATAGAAGTAGTTAAGATTATGTTAAATTATTGATATCTTTTTCGAAAGCTTTCTAGAAGCCTTGTAAATTTTATACATGTTTATAAGTAGTTGATAGGTTAATAACTTGGCTAACAAATTAGCTATATGTTGTGTATTTAGTCTCTTGTATTACAAGTTAGTAATGTGGTGCATGTGTCAAAAACTTATCCTTCAAATTAGACATATGTCTTACAAGTTTGATTCATGTCATATAGCATATAGAACATTGTCACATAGTTCTTTAGTAGATAGTATATATAGAGTGAAGCTTTCTACACACTTGTTGAAATCTTTCTTGTCCTCTATCTTAGTTCAAGACTTTATAGTTCTATATGCATTTGATAATAGCAATTATAATTTCAATTCTATATCTATTATTTTAATTTTTAAAATTTTTAAAATTTAATATAGTTTAATTTAGTTTTTCATTTTATTTCATTTTATTTTATATAAAAGAATATATATATTTATTTTAATTTTTTTTATAATTTATGTCTTTCAAAATCTAATAAGAATTTTAATTTTTATATTTTTTTGGTTTTAGAAGTAAGTGAATTATTTCACTTCTTATTGTTATGTTTTATAAGTGAGTGGATTATCTCTTTTTTTATTTTTTTATTTTACAAGTGAGTAGATTATCAGACTTCTTATTATTGTGTCTTAAAGATTTTGGACTACACATCTTTGAACCAATAATTTTTGTTTTTTTAACATCATTTTTTTCTTTAAAAAAGTAAATTATTATTCTTTGTTGAAATTTTTATTTAATATTAGAGATTACAAGTTACCTTCTTTTAATTTAATTTAAAGATTTTTTAAAGTTTTCTATCATAGAAATAAAAGGGAAAAAAAAATGAGAATAGATTTGTAATTATTACAAATCTTTACAAGCTTGTCAATACTAGTGAAGTAGAAATTTCACATACTACTAATATAAACTATAAAAATATTATTCCTATAGCTATAGAAGAAGTTAATAATAAAATTTAATTTTTTATGCTAAGAATTTATGCAATCAAGAGAAACAAGTAGATAAATTTTACAAATGAATTGAATAAGTCTTATTACTACAAATATAAAAGATGCAAAGATTAGTGTACTAGAGAGGTTTAATGGAATAAGATCAAAATTGTGGGGATTTTTATAACAAGTTAAGCTCTATTTAAGATTAAATCCTTCTTAATATTTTGATGGATTTATTCAAGTTAGATTCATAGGCTCATTTCTATCTATGATTTTTTTTTGATTTGTATTTTTTATTGCTTAGAATTTTCTATTCTTATATGATCTAAATTTATTCTTGGAAGTATTTTAGGCCAAAATTGGTAAGAAAAATTAAGAAACAATAGCAAATGTGAACTAAAACAAATCCCAATTAGTTAAAAGCATATTCTAATTCACAACAATTTAATTACTTAAATGTTCTAATAATTGTTGATTAATTTTTTATTTGATATTCAAAAATTTCAATGACATACCAATTGTAAAATAAAACAAACCATCCTAATAAGTAATTTCATCTAATTCACAACTACTAATTAACTTATGAGTGATTAAATAAAAATTCCTCCTACTTCTTGTTAAGAGAATTTAACCAATCTAACAAATTAAATTCACTCTCAAGCAATCACAAGCCACACAACATTACTACTGAATGAACTTACCATACACACTTAGCAGTTATTCTACTACTGAATGAACTTGCCATGCACACTTGGGAGTTATTCTACTACTGAATGAACTTACCAGGGCCGCAGCTCCATGATTCTCTCCAACTTTGACTCCAGCGCTTCTTCACGCTACTAGTCGTCAAGAATCTCGTCCGAGCATGAGCGAGCAAGTTAAGCAGTTACAGAAGGCTTTGGTCGAAAAAATGGAGGTCACTACGGCCGCTACCCTTAAAAGATCCGCTGTTGCAATTTATAATATTGAACATGAGGACACAAAACCATTGCTTGCAAGCAGGATTCCTTTGAGACTAGGTACACGTTAATTTAAATAAGCTTTTATTAGGTGACGGTCTGAGCAATCCACAAGCCTCACTCGTCACAAGCGACAGATTCGGTGGCTAATATGTAGTCTAATCCTATATATGATAATAGCCTTCTATAGCTACAGAACTATGCTCTATACTGTGCATGATGAACTTATGCTAATGCAGTTATCTTCGAAGTGATGCTCTAGTTGTTTGGTCAGAACTCCATCGACATCCTGTAATTGGAACTGTTGATGCTACCACCGACTCTATGACTTCGATGAGGATCAATAGTAATATAGGAATCTCAATCGCAATCAAACTCCACCTTGATTCTCCAATCACCGTAGCTATAGGAGGACAACAAAACACTCGCACCACTTCAACCTTACTGTCGACTGCTAATACCTGGAAGAAAACCGGAACGTATTGAGTAGTATGCAATACACACTTTTCTATCTTGGCATAGAGTCCTACATCTCTTAGTTTTTGTAATACATGACGAAAATGAAATTCATGTTCTTCTATGTTCTTAGAATAGATTAAGATGTCGTCTAGGTAATAAACAACAAAATCATCTAAAAACTCTCAAAAGACATCATTCATTAGATGTTGGAATGCTGCTCGTGCATTTGTAAGTCCAAAAGGTATGACGTTGTATTCGAAATGTCCATACCTTGTTCGAAACATAGTCTTCTATTAATCTCTTTCTTTGATGCATACCAGATTGTATGCTCTTCGTAGATCTATTTTTATATAGATCTTAGCTTGATTCAATTGATTAAGGAGTCCAGATCTCAAAGATAGAGGGTACCTATTTTTGATAGTGATTTTGTTGAGTCCTCGATAATCGACACATATTCACAATGATCCGTCTTTTTTCTTCACAAATAAAATTGGAACTCCTGCTGGAGATTTAGAATGGCATATGAAGTTATTGGCCAAATTCTCTTCAATATATTCTTTGAGTTCAACCAACTCATTTTGAGATAAATTATAGATTGGTCCAAATGGTGGTTGTGTTCTTTCTTGAAGGTCAATTGAGCAGTCATAGGAACGATGTTCTGGAAGAGTATCCACATTCTTCTTCTCAAATACATCTTGAAAATCTTGATATTGGCTTCGAATGAAACTTGAAGTCTTTCCACCAGTAGAAACAAGTGTGGCATAAATGACATAAGGTGATCCTTCTTTTGCAGCATGCAAGAAAGTACTTGCACTTACAAATATAGGTTTAATTATACTAGACTTATAACTTTCTACTTGATTAATTATGCTCTTAGTTATACTTTCAGAAAAGTGAAGACTATGAGAAGTCCAATCTATTTTAGGATTATATTTTTCTAGCCATGATAAACCTAAAATAATTAGATTAGAAAGAAATCTAATGATATTAAATATTACAAAGCTACTATGACTTTTAGTTGCTATTTCTATAGG